TAGATCATCAAATCACTGACACAAGGGGGCTTACAAAATCCAAGTGCATAATATGATACAGCCGCCAGTGAGTTAAGAATAAATATGCATATCCTACATTTTGACTGCTACCTGCTCAGCTGAACTTTTCTTCACAGCCCCTCTGGAGCATAACTCATTCAATAATGCCAAAGCCTCTTCAGCTAATCCTTCATACGCAATGCCTTCTATAAGAATAGTGTATGTAGCTTCAGTGGGTTTACATCCTCTTGAGATCATACGAGCCAGAAAATCAATAGCACGACTGGTTTGTCGAGCCTTGCAAAGTCCCAACATGATTGAGTTGTACGTTATAGCATTTGGCTTAATACCTAATCCTTCTAAATCATAGAAAAACTTGATTGCTTCATCTACCTTTCCTTCACGACTCAGCCCTCCAACTAGAGATGAGTACGTAATTATATCAGGTTTAAGACCCTTTCCACACATCTCTTCCAACAGTTTCACAGCAAAATCGGTCTTTCCCACCTTAGAAAGTCCATCAATAACTGTGTTGTAAGTAATTAAAACAGGAGAGCACCCCTTGCCACCTAGTTGATTCAATATCTCAACTGCAACATCCACCTTCCCATCTTTGCATAATGCAGTTAGTAAAGTATTATAGGTGACTATATCAGGGTAACAACCTCTACTTACCATTATTTCCAAATACTCGATTGCTCTGTCCATCTTTTTCTCTTTGCAAAAGCCATGAAGCAACGGATTGTAACTCAGGGAATTAGGAGTGCAACCATGCTTTGGCATCTTCTCCAAGACATCAATGGCTCTACCCAGTAAGCCTTTACGGCACAGAAAATTAATCAAAATATTGAATGTAACGACGCTGGGAGAACAGCCCTTACGAAGCATGTCAGATAATAATTTCTCGGCATCCATCCATCTCCCAGTACTACACATGCTACGTAAAATTATATTATGTGTAATTACATTAGGTTGGCAACCATAGGATGGCATGTTATTCAAAAACTTAATTGCCTCGTCCAACCTACCTTCCTTGCACATGCCATTGATGAGAACATTATAAGTAACCACATCAGGTTTACATCCCTTGTTCCTCATCTCATCTAGCAGCATCATTGCCTGACCAACCCCACTCTCCTTACAAGTTGCTTCAATTAATATAGTGTACGTGATTACATCAGGATAGCACTCCCGTTCCAACTGCCTATCAAGAACTTCCATTGCTTGCTTCAGTTGCCCACTATCACACAAACTACGCAAAATTGTGTTATAGGTAACAACATCTGGAGCAACGCTCATTCGCTCCAAAACCTGCAAGGCTTTATCAATTTCTCCTGATTTACAGAACCCACCAATTAAAACATTGTAAGTTATAACATCAGGGACCGCTCCAGACTCCTCCAGGATTTCCATAACTCGAGTGGCCTTCTTAGTCCTTCCCATCTTGCAAAATCCACGAATCAGACTTGTGCAAGCAATGACATCAGGTATGTCGCCACGGTAAGTCATGCGCTCGATGAACTTGAAGGCTTCTTCTAATTCCCCGTTTCTAACTAACCGGCGGAGCTTATTGTTACTCTCGAACTCCTCAAAGCTCCGAGAAGAATTGAACCCATTTGGCGAGTATTCCGCCCCATTCAGAGTCCCTTGCGGCGTTCTTCCAGACTGCTGCAATTTCCCATTTGAACCAGAGTTTCTGCCTTTGAAGCAGCAAACACGCGATTGCCCAAATTCTTTCGAGACCCCCTCGGTTTCCCAAACTCAATAACACCGTCGGCATACAGAACGAATGAGCGAGCTTTGCAGCCCAGCGGTTTGAATTTGTAACCAGTACCAGTATTATCCCAAACCCTACCTTTGAAGCATGAGGTTCTTGCGCCATCCCTGTGAAAGTGTTGAAATAAACAAAACTGCTCCTGATGACACGTAGTGGGTGCCACTAAATCCATTGCCCTCACGAACTTGTAAAGCCAACAATTCAAGTTTTCATGCTCCGAACGAAATGCGGTAGGAATCAGATTAGAGAAACTAATCCTTTTTCCCTTTCGATGCTCCCCAGAGGCAGAGTCTAAATAGTGCAGCTAGTCAAGGCTCAAAGGGGTTTAAGGCGAGAGACGCAAGGAAGGGATAAAGCACAAGCTTAGGTTTTTCGCGGAGTAGAACGCGCCAGATGAGTAAATGCTTATCCTATCACAATACTCTCATTGTTGGCTTTCCTTTCGTATCTGCCAATGAACGACGACGCCGGCTGAAAATTTGGGTCCGATGGGAGGGAACGTCATAACGAGTTTGCATATTTGGGCCGATGGGTATTGGGATTTGACATGGCCCGGAAAATTGCTCGGCCCAAATCAACCATCTGTTTTGGAAATGGAATGTACTCTGAATAAGTTCAAATTGGTATTACCTAATGTTCTAAATATAATAATTAATTAACTAATTTAAATAAATTAAAAATAAATTAAATTATTTATTCATAATAAATATGTGTTTTTTTTTCCTAAATATCCTTACTAATCAAGTTTATTAGCTAGAATTACCATTATTAGAATGATTATTTTAGGGAAAAAAAAGTTAATCAGGATCTTATATTTAAACCAAATAAAAATTTAAATGAGATTTTATATTAAAGATCAGAGGTAGTATATTACATTTATGAAAAGTACCCCACTGGAATTCTTATTTTATATGCATTGTTAAAAAATATTCACTATACTTACAATAATGCATGATAACTAAATTGTGGAATTCAGATTTGAGGCGAGTTTTGTATATGTGACAGGTCGAGCTTCTTATGTTTACTTTTGTTTCTTAATATAAATTTTATTTAACTTTTATTTTGATTCTAAATATAAGACCTAATTTACCTTGTTTCTAATATTTGTGCATTTTTTTCAAGATAATTCTTCTAATAATAGTAGTTCTAACAACATACTGATTAGCAATGATATTATGAAAGACAACACTGTTTATTATAAATAACTAACTTAACTTATTTTTTTAATCTTTCAAATTGGTCAACTTGCTCTTGTAATCAGGACCGGAGGTAGTATTATATACTCATTCGGTATTTAATGTAAGACCTAATTAGCTAAGTTAAGTAGATTAAAAATGTTAGTTAAGTTACATGGTATGATATTAAATTACATGATATGATATATTTTTTTCAAAATATTCTAAGCATTTTCATTAATTCTCTCTCTCTTTCTTATTTGATTATTATTGAGAAATTGTTAATAGGTTAATTTTAAAAAAAAATAAATAAAACTAAGTCTTACATATAGAACCAATATTAACTTTCCAATTAGCAGTATTAAGATTGGAGAAGTATTAAACACTTATTGATATATTGATATGCAACAATTATTCAGCTGAAAACCCTTATAAATAACTTTGGAATTTACAATGGGCGTGAGTAAATTTGAATGATGTGTTAAAATGTTACATATATTTAATTCCCATTTGTTTTGGTTAATTATTCTGTCATTTGCCAATAATGTACTGATTTTTTTCATTGGCTAAGTGACCTGAGATAGGCGTTTCGGATGGCCCTTCAATGACTCTTGGAGTCGAAAGAATCATTCGGGTGGGAACAAAAAAAGTTTAAAGGATCATGAGTAAGAACATCATAAAAAGCGCATCATAAAAAGCAGACGATGGATGGAACTTCCGGGACAAAAAGTATGATTCACTTTTCACGTTGGGGATAGGACTGGGCAGAGTATCTTCCCCACCTCGGGAGATTTTCACAATTAAAAATTGTGACAATTGTGTATGCGCTGGCGACCTTAAAAAATGTTATTCGAAAAGCGTCCATGAGGAGCTACGATTGCTCGACACGTCTCCACCTTAGTTGGCTCATTCCTTTATTCTTTTTGTTTTGTTTATTGAAGACTCTTCATGCGACCCGCTCAAGAGGTAGTTAACTTGGTTGTCGCCTTATCTAGAAGAGCCTGGCATAAATACGTGTCAGTAGTTCCATCTGCTTCAAGGAACGTTTCATGGCAAATCCATTGCACCAAATTAAACTTTGAATTCTTTATTGGGGACTGCGTCTTGGATTTGCTGGTCTTCTTAAACGTGTCGTGTCGAAAGTTAGCCATTGTTTCTGCTCTATTCCTAATCTTTTGTTTCCCCTTTTGATTATTATTATTTTTCCCACTAAAAATCTAGAAGCATGTTCATAAACACTGCCTGGACTTATGAATCGAGTTACCAACAATTTACTGTACACAGCCAGAACAATTTTATTTTTCTTTCATGAATAACAGACTAGTTTTGATATTGATGATTATAACAATGTATTCATTTAGTATATTTGAAAAGAAACATAAAAACACAGTAAACGTAAAACAGGGATAAAATTGCACGTCCTGAGCTGATAAAAAAAAAATCTAAATATAACAGTAATAAAATGGAAAAGAATTAACAAAGAGATGATAAGTAGTCTTATTTTTTATAAAAAAAAGAACATATACTTAAATTCTGAAAAACAACCTTTACATCCTAAACCACGACAAAAATCTTTAATTAAATAAAAAAAATAGAAGAGACATGAAGCGGAATTCTTTTGGCCACATTAGCACAAAGCCGAATTCAGCTCGCGGACAGCATCACTGGATAAATTAGCAGTACTAGTCATTTGATTAAAACAATCAGTAGTAGTTATTACAGTACTGAATATAAAAATTAGTTAACTAATTTGAATAGATTAAAAAATAAAATAAATTAGTTATTTGTAATAAATATGTATTTTTCTTAAAATATCTTTACCAATCGAGTATATTTACTAAAATTATCATTATTAGAAGAATTATTTTAAAAATAAATAAATAAATATGATAGATAAAATAGATTGAAATCTTATAATTAGTTAATTTAATTAACCAGTAATAAAAATAATAATGGATCGCAACATCGAGAATGCAGACGCGCCAATCTAGCGTGTTCCGTTAACTGTTTAAAGCGCGAGAAGCTGCCAATGCCCTTCCCCACAATTACATATTTAAATCCCTAATTGCTCTAGATATTTTCTGAGCTCAGCCTCCTCTCTACTCCCCCCCCCGCTCCCTACCTCCATCAGACGCACACGCTTCATGCGTACCGACGGAAATCCTCTGAATCAGCTCGCTTATTCTCTCTTACATGCTTTATTTCCGCTTGTTTTCCCCCGATCGTCCTATTGATTCCGATTCACAAATTCACCCCTGGTAATTGCGATTCTCTCTGAGAAGCTTGTTTTGATCAGCATTCATGATCCGAGTTCGGCTGCTTCATTTGTTACAACTTTCATGGCTGCATGACTTGAAACCGTGTATGGTTGAATTCACTTTCATGGAACCTCTTGAGGTTTCTGCTTCATGTTTCCGTACTCCGCATCTGTTTGGTTCCCGAGAAGCTGTGGAAAAAATAAAAGAAGAGAGATAAGAAAACGAAGCCGGTAATCTTATAACTTATTACACAGTCATTGCTGCTCTAACTTTGGCGAGATTTATCTTTTCACTACCATTACATTCAGATGTTTTCTAGAGAATACGCAACTTGCATTCTCTTGTTTCTAATATCATCGCAGTATTACGTGCTGCTTGTAGTATCAATTTATATGTCTTTTTTCATATTATCTAGGTTATCATAAGCTAGTCTTCCTTACGGGAATAGTGGGCCACTTTTTGGACAATGCGCGTTCGGATCTCAGGTAATTAGGAGGTGCAGTCTACGAATATATTTCTGTTTGTTTAATTGATCATGTTTCCTATTTTCTTTTGCCGGTTTAGGACAGTCTTCAGTGCTTGGTTGATTCATTATATCGAATATAAACGTAAATTTGACCCTCTCACACGTTCTTACTTTAAATTCTTTTTCTTATTTCAGTTTTCTTTTTCCCTCCGATATGGAAAGTATGTCGGTGAATCCACTTTTCAGTTCTGTAGCTGTAGACAGTAGACTGGCTGAAGATTTCATGTATTTTTCCCTCTTACGCAGCGAGCACATTCTTGCTTATTTTGACTGACTTCATTTAAGTGAAATATATGCTAGATTAAATTTGCTAAACTTAACAAGTCTGTGGACTAGCATTCATTAATTAATGGGAATGTTTAATTTTATTTTAAGCAATTAGTCTTGTTTGTTGTAATATTATACGCCTAGAACAGATCGGGCCCATTTTCATGTATGTGTTGTTTGATAGGTTGGTTCACACACATGGTGGTCTATAGTTCCCTATCACCATCTGTCTATCATAGAGAAATCGTGAGGGATAATTATAATAATATACATTTATTTATTTTATATTTTATATTTTATAACTAATGGTAAACCTTAGCAGTCAAATACATCTCTATGTTACTATCATTCTTTATTCATGATAACGCTAAACGGCAAGGTAGGCTGAAGTACCTACTTTAATTACTTTCTGAGGTCAATTAAGCATCTATGGGATCTTTACCACGTACGTATCCTATTCTTAAATGTATCCTTGAGACCATACATACACATATGTCCTGCAATGATGTAATGTTTTTGCCTCCCCCCCTCCTTCCCAGAAACTAAGGGTAGGCTATGACGAGTATTGTGTTTCTCAAGTTTTATTTTATTAGAAAAATCAGTTATTAAAGTGTGCCTTGGATAATGTTGTTAGGTTGAACATAAATACAGACTTTGTTCCCTAAGACATATATGCTCGGACGGCTTAGTCCCTGAAATTTCTCTCTACACAAGTCAGACCCTACAGTTTTGTACTTACAACAGTCCCACAGTCCGCCAAGCATGTTGATATTTCATGGACATGTTGACGAGGTACATTAAGTGTATGTTTTGGAAGCTAGAAAGACTTTTTTTTTTTTTTGGTTTTTTCAGAAAGCAATTTTTCCCTAACTGATGTTTGGTTACTTTTTATTTTTAGGCTTAGTTTGAAAAACAGAAAATACACATGAAAAGCTAGTTTTGTAAACTAAAGTGAAAGTAGCGTTTGTCTCTTTTGCAAATTGTAAACCAAACATGCATTAAGTCTTTAGAGGGAATGTTAATTGCTTATCTGTACCATAGCTGGGTTGTCCATGGCAGCCACCCTGGCATGGCAGAATTCGAAGAAAATGCTTTGGGACTTCCATGATGTGGTGATGTTTACAGGGAGTTGCCATGTGGCATCCACTTTGATTTAGTGGCCACCCTGGCAGAATATAGAAAATTAGATGTTAGCCACAGTGTGTTGTAATTAAACAATTGTAGAGATTACCGAGGCTGAGGGTATTTGTTACATTTGATATTTCTATGGTGATTTAAATTAAAAAATCTGAGCCTTTCACTATTTGTCACATCGTGCCGTTGACAACCCTATACTGTAGTTCTTCTTCCTTGGGCTGTCCATTGTGGGAGCTCTCTTCAAAATTTTGTAAGTTGTCCAATCTAATATGGATCCCCCCCCCTCCCAAATCAATAGAATTCTTAAATCAACAACAACTTGAATCATTATAAAATACTGAGTTTGTCAGTAAATGTTGAGCCTGAAAATTTTCATTTTATTAGATTGGGCTGATTCAATTTTTCTAACTTGAATTTATGGCAAATTGATGCTTAACATTCAGCACTGAACCTATTCATGATGTTTTGTTGTAAAAAAATTTAGTAATATCATATTATCATCAAATGATAAACATTTTGAAGTTCTTCATTCTTCTCATGCAAACAGTCAATTTACTGATGCTATTTGTATGATGCATCCTTTTGAAGTAAATTCAAATTATTAAGTTGAATGAGGAGTGTGCGTGCGCATTTTACTGAGTGTTTATTCTTAATCTGATGGAAAAGGAAATCTTAGAAAGTGGCAATAATGTTGAAATTATCCATAAGGATCAAGCATTTTTCTCTCTAAAACAATATAATAAATTAATAATGGCAAGAACATGAGAAAGGCGCGTCAGTTTTATGTGGACGAGTCTCCCTTAAAGAAACAATGTGATGCAAGCAAAAATGAGGCTAATAATCATGTTTTGCGTATTCCCATGTATTGCCAACCTTATCTTCTCCCACTGTCCCTTGGAAAACTAGTGTCTTAATTTGTGATCTCAAATTCTTAATTGAAATCTGATGGAATTAATCAATTTGCAAACCATGCCTGTGGTGATCATATCATTAGTAGTCAGGATCTGGATCCCTGCCTTTACTATCCGATTGAAGGACTTAACAGATAATGAAGATGACACTGTTATTATTTATGTGATTTTTATGTTGAAAGGGAGAATGCAAAATTATGTTTGATAGCAGTCATTTTAATTGAAGACATAGCTTTTAACGTCGAGCAGTTGGTACTCTAATTTCTGTCACAGTTTTATTTACAAGTATACCCGTTCTTCTGGCTTTGTCTTCTTGTTTGATGTGATGATTTGGATCTAAGTGATCCAAGTTGTTTGTGTTGGTTATGTCATTGAAGGTTGATTCTTTTGCTGTAACCATTTGCTTGAGCTTGTCGTTGGTTAACCGTGTCGTCTTTTCCGCAAACCTGAGCACTGTGAGCTGATTAACTTGTTTTTTCAGAAGATAGTGTTGGTACTCTAATTCAGAACCTTCTTGCTTGAAGAAAACTAGGTAACATTAGAACTTGAGAAATCAATTACCACTTACTCATGACTAGAGAACACACCTTTAAAATGCAAGTTTTTTGCTGAAGTGGTGCCTTTGATTGTATAAATTAAAACTGAAGTAGTGATTTGCATGCAGTTGTGTCCCATATGTTTACGTCAACGTAAACAGTGTGATTAGCCTATCCCTTGAGCTTTGTTGCATTGTTCATTTTGGGATCATTCCAGTCTTATTGATATGCTCTTCCCTTGCCTTTAAACTCCATTTCTAGGAATCTTTGCAGTGTCTGTAACTAATAATGCATCATCCTTTCATATTTAAAAAAATGTTGTCTGCCCCTATATGGCATGATGTTGAGCTTCCTATATCAGTGCATATATCATGGTAAATCTCCTTCTCTAAGTGTAAACAACGTCAAAATCAGAAGACAAGACAATAGGTAATTCCAGCGGCTCTTTTTTAAAGTTAAGTGAGATGTGGGTCGAGGTAAACTATTGCAAATTAATTTCCATTTTAGTTTGATTTTTGCTTTTCTGTTTAGATTCCTACTGTTGATAACATTATGATTATCATCCAAAAGGCAAGAAAATCTTTTAACAGAATAAATAAGTAAAAAATGCATTTCACATGGCTGCAGTTTTGAAGAGTTTTCTGTTTTATTTGGTCTTAACTTTACACAAGATGCTGTATTCATTATTCATGAACATGGCACAAATGCTAGAGTTGATTTTGCTGATAACTTCAAGTTGGAATCATAGAGCTCAATGATACTAGGCTTACATGACCCATCATGAATAAAGCACAATACTCAAATCTAACCCCATAATCTTGATGGCATCAAGAATCATGCATCTCCTGTAGATCCATCAGTGCAGTTGAAATCTGCTGCAACATTCAAACAAATTTTATATAATGTTTTTACTATTGTTTCATGATTAATAGCTCATAGGCTAAGGTTCAAAGATTGTACCTCAATTTTGTGGCTCCTGAAGGAGTCTCATCAGTTTATCGCTCTGGCTGGCTGAGTTGGAGATTTACAGGAACTTGCAAGTCCTCTCTTATGCCCAGACCATTCATAAGAACAGAGTTTCTGTTTGTTGCGCTCCCATATCTTGTTTCATAAACCTGGATTTGTGAAATTTCTCTTTTTTTGAGAATTAAATTCTCAACAAATTTTCACTGGTTTGAAAATTGCATCATTTATTATGAAGAGACTGTTTAAGTTTGTAGGTCTAATTAGCTACCCAAACCAATACCTTTTTATTTAATTCTATGTTTTCTTGACGAAGTAGGTTTACCTTCTTATAAAGCTCCACATTTTCTTGGTGTATAAGGCTACCCTGCAGAAATTAAATAAAAGGCTTAATCGAAGGTAGAGGATTGTAACCACTTTTCATATGTTTTGGGACTAACCTTTCGGTTTAGTTCTTGTATTTCATTCATTAAAAGTTGGTCCTGCATGAGTCATGTTTAAATTTTAGAGCAATGTAGGTCTTTTTCAGAAAGCAAACAATTATTGTTTGTGCTATCTTACAGTTTCTTAATCAGAGTACTTCATTTAGGTATCACTAACCTTTTTCATACGGACACCCCGAAGGCTAATTTCCATTTGGCTTTCCAAACCCTGTAATTCTTTTATAGTCAAACTTGACAGCTCTTCTCCCATCATTTGCCTGTTAATTCACAATAGAAGTTTGAGCTGCATCTTGGGGACTGATAATTAATCAACAAGGCTAGAGACATGGAACATATGTTCCAGCAAGTACAAGCTTTCTGTATGGTTTTGTAACTTCTGCTTTCACAATGCATTGGCGAAAAAAATGCTTACAGCTTAATGTTTCATACTACTTTATTTGCTGATACATTTATGGTCTATTAAAAATCTGTGTGTGGGAACATGAAAGTATTTCTCATAAGCCTATATAAAAATAGTCTTTGGAATCGGAAACTAGAATCTTATTGTATCCAGAGGTGTTGAAGATGCGACAGTCTGTTCAACCGTAATAAAAGTATAGGGCTGGATCAATAAAGTGGAAGCCCAATTTTTAGAAAGGGTTTCTAGCCTATCCTTAGGGCTCAACTGATTTAAGCGTAGCCCTTGGGACGTGAGGTTTTTTTGTTTTTAAATGACTGGTTACTATGGGACCTAATTATTTATATGTAGATCTCTATTGCTAGCCTAGGATTTTTCCAGCCCTTGTTTAGGAATTGCCTTGCTTGATCCCAGAATGCTTAGGACCCTGGAAACAAGAATCTTGCCTATCCTTTTGGCTTTGAGGCATTGGAACTTAAGGGGCTTACAGTGTCTTTGAACTAATACGTGCATATAGATATGTGGATATGGTTGTATAAATAGGTTTTTGATAGTGCAAAAATGGAGATACTGAAGCGGATGTAATGAGAGTCAGCTTCTGGCCTGAATGCTGAGGCTGTGAAGCATGGACATTTCAGAATAGAAGGCATGTCTCTGGGCAACGTGTCTAGGGCACTTGATCATACACATGACAGTGACACTGCAAATTACATTTGGATCATGTCTTGTTTTACTGCGTCTGCACCTGTGTCCATGATTCTGACCTTAAAAGCAACATTCTCTTGTTTCTAAATTTTGCTGACATGCATGCTCAAATTAGACTTCTTTATATCATGAAGTAAATTTATGTTGTAGGGAAATATATGTACCGGTGATTTTCTTGCAAGTTTTGCAATTGTTGCCTTAACATTGCTGCCTCCGTTTGCCAAAACTAGAAATAATTGAACAAGAAAACAGAAAGAATGTTGCACTTAGATATCAAAGTAACATGAAGCGTTAGATATAAATTCTTGTCAACCATGATATCACCCAGTTGTAGAAGTATCCAAAGATATAGGACAACTTTCTATAGATGTTCAGGTAGCCATGTTTATTTATATTTTCATGATCCAAAGTAATGAAAATTTTATTCGATATGTCTTGAGCTGATACTTTGTTTCAATCACATTGGAGAGAGTGAAGATCATTTATTATTTATCAACTTTTTGTCCTATAGCCTAGGAATTAGAGCTGGACTCGATCATTTTCTGGTTTGGGATGGATGAGCAGATCGTTTTCTTGTAATATCTTTGGAAACTGTTGGTGAGAGTAAAATTTCCATATGTGTAGTCTTTAATTGATATCACAGAACTATCCACACTATACTGTCTTTTGACCAGCTTTCAACTCTTTTTTTTTTTTACTTTATTTCCTAGCTTAGTCTTGAGTGTGTGATTAATTGTGAGTAGGTATGGTGTTCTAACCTTGTTTTCCCAGTTGACTACTCCAAGGTAACGTTTGAAGGTGTGGATGTCACTATTATTCCATTTGCTAGAAAGACACGAGCACTGATACTTGTCTAGAAGTTGATGTTCAATGGTTGTATTCTTATGCGTGAAATGAATATGACATGAACGCAACCTAAGGGTTGCATGGGCATTGCTGCAATTTATGGATATCTAAAAGTGCTCAAGTTTGTAAAGCTTTTTTTTTTTTTTAATTTTACACTTCCCCCAATTTCCTCTGAGATGAAAGGATAAAGTCACTTTACACTCTTTGGGTAAATTGCACTAACAACTTCTTGAAGCTATGATGTTTAACATTTGTGTGCTTAGCTGATAACCCTATATGCCCCCTCTGGTTTTGTGTGTGTGTGTGTGTGTGTGTGAAAATCACCCATAGATTGCAAGATCACTCCCTTGCAGACTAAAAAAAAAAAAAAAAAATCCTGCAAAGCCATGTGGAGATTTGTTTTCTGAAGTATGAGGAAACCAGGTAATGGGAATGGGAGAGGCTTAAGCGTTAAGTGGGTTTACTCAAAGTAGAGAATAGGGGAAAAGGTCACTTGTTCTTTTGGTGTGTTATTTAGTGAAAAAGTTGCTATCCCTGATCCTTAATATAAGAGCTAGAAAACTAATTTGGGGAGGTTAAGGAAATTAATTAAATTAGTTAATTGTAACAGATATGTGTTGATTTTCTTGAACTATCATCTTTAATCATATGCATTGGAACTATTTATTGGTGAAATCTCTACAATCATTAGGGATATTTTAAATAAAACATTATGAATTAAAGAATTGAGATTTTTTATTTAGGATCAGATTTAATCTCCCAACTAGCTCTTATATTAAAGGCTGAAGGAAATATCTGACCTCTCTAGTGTCAATTAACCAGGTCGTGAAGTTGTAGGGTTCCCAACACTTGGAAAGGTTAAATTGTAGGATTTATTTGCACTTGTGCTGATTTTTGTGACATCTTGAGTGAACGTTGATAATTTTTCTTGTGATTCCCCTGGGGATCCTTTTTTTGGCATTTAGGTCAGTAAAGGTGACCTCTACCTTTCTATTACACAAGGTAGTTTCACATTCTTATTAGCATAACCAAACCAGCAGATGTTAGAAAGGTCCTGCTTAATTCCTGCTTCCCTTTTCCCAACCATGTGCCTTATGCTTCAAGTTCTGATTTCAATCGCTTTATCTACCCTCCTATAGTTTTTTATGCTCTATTGAAGCATGGACCTTTTTCCTGTAGGAACAAAGGTGTGTGTGTGTATATATATATATATATATATATATATATAAAAGCACACTTCAAATTGATTTGCTGAATTGATAAACTCCATATAGACTTTGTACCATCTGATATGACAGAAGGGTTTGTGTGTAAACCCATCTTAGTAGCAAAATTGCAATATGCAGAAGATGCTTAGAAATACCTTCACTTCAGACGTTGAGCTCCCTGGATGAGGATGTTGAGCTTCTTTAGCTTTGTTGTATCGATCAATCACTGATTTCATGCTGGAGGAAGTAAATCAAATTGCATCAGGCGTGGTCTAGTGGTTGCGAACATATAAAAGCCATGTATAATTTATTTAATGCAGATAACTGCATGCTGTGAGGAGGTAGTCAGGTATAGCCACGTTAATGTTTGAAACTCCAGTGATCCACATCTATTTCGCCCCTCCATGTACAATGTAAACTCAAATTTGGGCGAACAAGTTGCCATTAAAAGACAATACAGGTTTTACTAAAAATCATGCTTCTGAGCTTTGAATGATGGTGTAATTATGAAATCACGAATATCTGACCATCAAATCAAAATTTGCCAAACCATGAAATCCCAGTCACCAAACGTTTCTGTCACAATCAGAATTACGCAGTCACTTGCCATTAATTTCGGCTGGCATGTGATGTATTTATGTTAGCTGGAAAGTTAACTGGTGCCCTGGTAGGTGTTAATGTTCATATATTAATTTTGCATCCTAGTTCAGAGGATGAACTGTACATTTTTAAGTTTCATGCCTTATCTTTATGGTTGTCCTGTACTTTTTAATCCTTTGCGATGGAGTTTGAATCTTTGGCCATTCAGTGGTTGGTCGTTGGCATTGCCTGGTATTACAATATTCTAGGAATAAGTAGATTTTGGCCTGGTGATGGCGGGTTAAGCTTAACATGCGGTCAGGCTAATATATTTTGCATTAGGTCTTTGGAGATGTTTGTACGGGTTGTAACTAGGGGCGGGGGATGTTGATTGCAACAGAGAATTTTCCCTTGAGTTACGTGGTGGCAGACCGCCAAACACCAGAAATTATACTTGAAGGGTCTGTTGAATGTGATATAATGAGGGTAGGAATATATTTAGGTCTTGTTTGGTACAAAGCATTGTAAATGAAGGATAAAAATTGTAATTAGAATTGAAAACATATGATAGAAGATATTTAGCGTGAGTAATTTCTTATTACATGAGATTAGGTAATTCCATGAAGATGGGATTGGAGAATACCACCTTTTCTTATGGTATTTTTCATTCTCACATATATAGATTTATCTAATCTCGAGTATTAAAGTATTAAACAATTACTCATGTCAAACATTTTTTTAATACAGTTTTTATTCCAATGTCAATCCTAATTCCCACATCTTATTTTCAATGTTTGGTACCAAATGGGATCTTAATGTAATGGTTAAGGCCATTATGCGGAGGGTTTCTAGAAGAAAGTTATGAACATAGGACTAACAAATGAAGCTTATGAGAATTGCGTAGCCAGGAGTCAACCAGCAAGGCCAGATAGGATAATAAACAGTAGTGCATAAGAGGAGGTGTCAACCAAAGAAAAATGTTGCAGACTCCCTTGAACGGGATCTCAAGTCCAAAGCTTGAATGCTTGACGAGCCTAAGGAGAGAGGACTTCTGAAGAGAAACGTCGGGGACTTATTAGTTATCATAACTCTACTTGAAGTTTAAGACAGAAGTTACTGGTTAAGGGAAAAGGGAAAACAAACTTAGATCAGCATAGGCACCATAAACTTGTCTTTTGAACATGTGGTTGGAATTTTTTGTGGGGCTTTGCATAGGTGTGTTCTTATTAGATGCAATCTTGTTTTAGGTATTATCGGGCATTGTAAATGTAGGTGCTTCTTTTAATAAGAATTTGAACTTTGTTCAAGTTGTAAGACTAGCTATATATTGGCTCTATACTGTAAAACAAACTTGAATGATTATTTTAACCGTCTACAGTACTTAGGGGTCTACAAGTGGCTTGAATTTTGGTTACCAAAAAGTGAGCTTGAAACGGATACTTTAATGATTAAGATGAAGTGTTACCATAGTAAGCGTTGAACTTGTATGACCAACATCTATGCCGGTAGTGCATTGTCTCTTACTGGAGCGAGTTTGGATATGAAACCTACGCATCCTTAGTGAGGTCCCTGCTCTCATTGAAGTTTTGGCTGTTTAACATAATCTTGGGACTTTAGTTCCTACCTCTGTAAAGTATAAACTAATTAGTTTTCTTTTGATCCCGACACTGATCCCTCACTAACGAAGAAGAGGGAGAAAGATTGACGAAAATAAAAAAACAACTAGAAGGCATTGATGATCTAACTAAGAAGAGGGGAAATCTAAAGGTAGACGGTAATCCATATTTTTAGATTTTCACGGTTCTTATTTACCTTACAGTCCTAAAAGGTATCGATACCAAGAAGATGAGTTGATCTATTAAGAAATCGACATGGTCAAAATTTAAAATCATAATAATAATAACACTAGTCAGGTCAAATCTTTCCCTTCACAATGTAGTCAATGTACTGTGATTTTTTTAGAACTATAAAAGAGGCATAATTCTAGCCAATCATTTAAGTCCTTTTTTCTTTAGAAAAAAGAACGTGAATCTCAGATAACCAAATTATTACAATTACTTTCATAAAATTATTATTTCCCTGCTTCAGTCATAGGGATGTGTAAATCTATCCTCCAAGCGAGGATCCTAACTTGACAGCGGGAAAATTTTATAAACTGTTTTTTAATTGTTTTATGGGGAAAAATTCAGTCATACTATTTATGAACGTTTTTTAATTATCAGTCTGGATTGGCATGATGGCTAAGGGTGGCTTTTGTCATTTAATTAAATTGTTAAAAAGTTTGAATCTAAATCCTGATATATATGGCAACCTACAAAAGTCTACTATTTGTCTTCAATCCCCTAAAGGAAAATAGTCTCTATTGTTAGTGAAATGTATTTATTGTGTCTGAAAAAAGTTCCTTACATCTTTTATCGGGTTTCATATAATAAATGTGAAAAAGACTGGTATACAAAGTTTTGGAGTTGTCGTCTTTCCTATGAACCACTAAAAACATTTACCTAGAAAGGCATAAACACGGGGCCCGTGATAGTTTCCTAAAAGATTTTGTCTCATTGATCAACTAGACTTTGAAAATTAAACAAATAATGACATATAGGCAGAGTCCTACTAAAGTGATGAGGCTGTGACGGGAGCTGGTGATCTTCCATTCATATATATAAATATATATATATATATATATTTATATCAATTGGGGTGGATTTCACAATGCATAAACGTTTAGAAATAAGGCATATTGTTCATGATTCATGAAAAGTCTAGCTTATTAGGCTTATCATAGTTTTATATTATTTAACATTATTTAAATCTTCATGGCTTTTACTTAACTTGTTAAAGCACTATGACAAGTGAATCTGTCTAACCTGCGAGATCATTATGATTTATGCATCAGACAGAACTGCACAACCATTTACTTGTGCTCAGTTGTTTGTTTTAATGAATTGTTTTTTAATTTTAAAATATTTCATAAATACTAGGATTTAATGTTTTAACAAATAGCATAAATGTTTATTAGTGAGTTGGAGCAAAATATGTTGTGAATTTCACTGTCTAAAAAATGAAGGGTCCGTTTGGTTCCTTTCCGTATGAGGGGATGCATGATGCTTTCTAACATTTCTACGATTTGGTTGGTCCAAAGTAAGGTGGAAGGGACTAGATTATGCAAGGAAAACCATCTCAAATCCTGTCATTGGAATTACATTATTGGACCTATGTAATCCCTGTTCTACCGCCTCTATCCCATAATACCATTTCTCATCCATGTTCATCCCATCCCTCCTCCCTCATCATCTTCGAATTGGGAGGTTGTTGTTTTCAAATACTATCTACGGTTCTTATAAATATAAGACCTAAATTCACTTTGTCTCTTATATTTATTTATTTTTTTAAGATAGTTTTTGCAATAATAATAGTTCTAGTCAATGCACTTGATTAACAAGGATATTTTAGAAAAGATCATTTATTTATTACAAATAACTAATTTAATCAGTTTTTTTTAATCTACTTAAATTAGTCAATTAGCTGTTATATTAAAAGGCAAAGGTAGTATGTTTTTTCAATCCTTATTTTCTGGATTGTGGGTTTTCCCAGTTTGATTATGTCACTGTTTGCATTGGTATGTGTTGGCAAATATGTTGGGAAGCCATTAATGAGGAAGGAGGACGATATGGGGGAGTTTGTTTTCGTGGCTGGGGGTTAAAAAATTGTTTCACAGTTTTTTTGGTTTTTCATAAGAAATATATTCCTCTTGTAACATATTAAGCAAACACATGGTGATCATTATCATTTTACATTTTATCACGTTTCTTACGATTTATTGAACTAAATAGATGCCAACAGATATGCATGTGCATTATTCCAAGTTATGAATAAATATGTGCTTTTTCAAACTATATATAATGCACAAAAATAGTTTAATTTACAATAAAAAGCTATGCATACAAAAAATTTGCATAAATTTTTTCAAGGCAAATAATGCAACACAATTTTGTAGCTCTTGTTTTTGTTAGGAGCACCAATCTCCTGCTGAGGGCTCCATGCCAATATATTTATTTTGAGAATGAGCCGAATAGGCATAGAATACTTCGACATATAGCAAAACGAATTGTTTATATATCTTTATTGCAGCAACAACAAGAAGAGATCAAACAACAACAAAAAAACATTGACTAGCTGATGAACCAATATCTTATATTAATCTGATTCTTAATATAAGAATTAGTTGAAAATTAGATTGGTTCTAAATATAATATTTTAATTCACTGATCCATCAAATTTATAATTCATTCTTTAAAGTATTTCTATTGATTACACATATCAAGAGGATTTTTATTTAAGGATAATCATAATTAAAAAGATATTTTAGGAATATTTTAGATTTGTTAGAAATAATTAACTAACTTTCTTAATATATCAAAATTAGTTTAATAGCTCTTATATTAAAAATTAGAGATAATATATCAGTTAACATTGACTAGAGGGGGATCCTATACACCTCCTAAAGAAGGGTTATAAAATTTTTCAACTTGTTCCCCATATTAATTAGTAAGAAATTCTGGCAAAAGACTTCAAAAATCACAACTGACGGCTGAGGTTCACGCAGCTTTTGTCACCCTTGATTTTGCAAGATCATCGCACGGGACTCGCCAACACAACTATTTGTATATATGCATTAGTGATCTTATTTGACTATTAGTGTACTTCATATTACAATACTACAAATGTCATATCTTTATTTTAGATTATTTTCACATTTGTATTCCAATAAAAAAGATAACATAAAACAAAAGAATCGTTTTCAGGTATTTGCCATGAGAACTTTGTGAGAGGGATGTTTTGACGGAATTATTTATCACAAAATTGTGATGATTATATTACTTTGTCATTGTCAAGTTTGCGACAAAATTATCTGTCACAAATTTGTGAGAAATCTTTTGATGAAAATTTTCATTGCAAATTTATGACTCTCCAACGGAAAACAAATTCCTCACATAACAGGATGATAGTTATGTCCCCTAAAATTTTGCAATGGATTTTTCTGAAATGTAATTTTTTTTTCCAATGCAAAAAATTGCGATATCTCTACTTGCAACAAAAATTCATCTTTCCCGAAACCGACGGATTTTTCTGTGGCAAATCACATATTTTGATGCAATGATTAAGGATTCAGACACCAAACACAATCAAATGCACATTGTGTGTATTTGGCATTAAGAGATGATATTGACAAGGGTCTTGGACCAAGAACTCTATATTACATCGCCTATTCTAGGGCAAAACGGCCATCGGCATCATAAAAAAAAGAAGAAAATGTTTTTTTAATTTGGAAGGTAATGAAATAAGGATAGACGTGTATGACTTCTAAACTGAAGAAATCAAACATTATGGATTGCATGCTAAGTTTCCTTAATTACTGCAGTACGTACTTGGAGAGCCTAGGTTCACTAATAAGACGGAGGCACTGAGAGCTCTCAGGCAATTTGGGCGTCTTTCTTTCACACGATTCCTGAATCTCTCTTTTTGATTGCAATTCAGGACGAAGAGTTTAACTAGTATTTTTTTCTTAATGGGATCCCTAATAAAAAACTCATTTATCTACCTGTCTAATCCTCCTTCAGGCTTGACTGTCAAATGTGTAATTGGATAGAGAAAAATTACAAAAACTTATAACCGCATGGTATCCTGTTATACAGGATCTAAACTAAATTAAAAAAGAACTCGCGGGTATATGCCCGAGTTTACATGCATATCAACACAATTTGATAGGAATGGCCGTAAGTATGTCTAAACCGGGTCTCAGTTTAACATGACAGCCCGCTATGGTCTATGAGTGATTCCACCAGTGGTGTTAACCGTTCGTAAGAGTAAAAGAAATATAAATACTTTCATATTTCTGCACATTCTCGTTAGCAATTTGTAAACTGCAAGTCTAAATTGCTAAAATACATTTACATATATAATAACCACAGATATTCATTATCCAATATCTAAACTAATAAATTCTTTACAATTTTTTTTCAAATTCTACGTTCATCAAGGACGACGATTGAGACTAAAGTAATTAGTAATAAATAATATATTACATGTTGGACGATAAGCAGAATTCATTTATATAAACTAATTCACGCCTTTTTCATAACTAACAAACACATAAATATTCACAACAAAGTGAATTATACCCCTGATTAGAAGCTATATATCCTTCCATGTCAATCCACAGGTGCTAAAAAAACTCAAACCTATACAGTTCTACGCTAGTGAACTCGTGTAACTTCCAACGGCAAGTTCCATATATCATTATGTGACGCCAATATTCACGTGGTCTTAACAACAAACATCTTATCTTCATGATCTTATAGACAATATCATTGTCATAGCTCGGTGCCACATGATATAATAATAATGCGAGAGAGTCTCTGCGTTTCCGATCACGAACATTGCTCTTGAACTCGACACACCCTATATAGTGTTTCCTTTAAAAACATTAGGAGAGATTTCACTAACTCCAATCTTCTTCCATGGGACCCGACTTCAAGTTTTCAACCAATTCAGAATTTCTAAAACTTATCTTCCGCTTCCTTAAATAAACTCCCACTCACTGAAACTAATTAGTGAAGATTAAGAAGAACAAAGCTCTTAACCTCCTTATATCAGATCAAATTAAAGTGCATGAAGTTAGCTTAGCTTTTATTATTAATCATTATATTCACCAAACCAAAGAAACAAATCAGAAAGCCAGCATGCTCATCTTCAACAATGATCTCATAACAAATCATCAACAATTCATTTTGCGATAAAAAGAAGGAACTGGTCATCAAAGCAAATAGGAGATCTAAGAGCTTAGGGAGCACCTGGTGCTAGCGAAATCGTAGAGTTTACCAGTGCTGGAGAAGATGATGGCTCCGACCTCAGCGTCGCACAGTATTGCCAGCTCCTTGGCCTTCTTTAGTAAACCATTCCTTCGCTTCGAGAAAGTTACCTGCCGGCTCGTCGAATTGTCGATTCGCCTTATGACGATCTTGCCTCTTCCCATACCAGTAAACCCTAACTGAATACATTTTCAAACCAAAATTGTTACTCTCCAACAGAAAGGAAATCGAATACGGAACAAGACTTGCATGAATACGGAGGAAATCAAAAGATGGATGGAAAAATTGTTCATCTATTGGAGAGAAATTTTTTTCGCAAACAGATATTTCGATGGAAAAGCTAATGACGCACGAAATTAGTTGATCAAATTGATTTTCCGAGAGAGATAGAAAGAATCGATAAAGGAGAAGGAACAAAGAAAATGAAAAAGAGTGAGGGAGAACGAGCGAGCTCTTACTAGCAAGAATGCCTGCGCAACCGTACTGATAACTGACGAGTGAATTGAATTCACTTTCAGCATTCGGCGACAAAGATCTATATAAGGAAAGTGTACAAAACCGCTTTCACGGGCGGAGAAAACCCGCCATTGGGCTCGTAGAAATCCATAACCGGTTTTATGGATTGGGGTACGTGGCCCAATCAGGTTTTGATTCTCGTAAGACGATTGGCCTATTTTATTCCGTTTGAAAGTGGAGCCACCCGCCGTATCTGCCACTGACGCGTGGAAGTACGAAGACGCATGCCGTAGTTGCTTTTTAAGGAAATGCCGCTTTTCCAATTAATGGGGTCCAGTGTCTGTAGAATGCCTAAAGTGTCCCTGAGAGGCGAAGCCGCTAACCGCTAACCATACTTGAAGTATACGCATGCGATGACGGTGGCAATCTTTCAAGGATAAAAATTTACTGAGAGAATTCATGATTTATTCAATACATGAAGTTTATAATGCTATAAAAATCTCAACGTTATTGTCCCAGTTTTTTAAAATATCTCACACACATATTAATGTGAAGCGACAATATTGCATATATGTATTAGTTAAAATAGTTAAACTTTTTCTGGCAAAAAAAATTGTTAGACTTTTAGTCCAATAAATATTACTCCTCTCGTCTTAAATATAAAACCTTTATACACACTTGTATAAGGGTCTTATATTTAGGACCGGAGAAGTAGTATATGTTTTTCTTGAAGCTGATAATGCCTCGCGCTCTAGTCGAGATTAAATTTTTCTTTCTTTTATTTACACTCCTAACCCCATCTTTTAATTTACATGATTTTAAATTGTAGTAGTACCCAAAACATCCGTAATGCCCCCGACAAGCTTTTTCTGCTCCAAAAGGGCTAATGTGCATGCGTGGAGGATGAGAGTTGGGGTGTGCAAAGACCCATATTTTCATTTTGCCATACTGATTTGTACGGTACTCATTGAGTATGTAATGCAATTTAGACTATTCAAAATATGATATGAACAGTGTAGATTTAAAATTTTTAATATATAATTTTTTAATAATAAATTTATTTTTTAAAAAAAATTGTTGGTTACAATATTATTTTTATCTTAAATTTTATGTCTATTAAAACAAAATAAATTAAAATATATAAAAAAAATTGAAATTTAATATGGATCATCTAAAATCAATCTGGATAATTCAAATTACGCATCAAATGAGCATGAAATGTACTCTCAATTTTTATTAGTGATAGCAGTGCGAGTGGGCCCCAATTTAATCCAAATCGTGCATGGGAGAACCATGGTATATGGGTTCTTTTATGTTGTTTTAAAAAGACTACTCTTGCCAAAAAAAATGTAGAACACGGACATCTATCACTGGGGTAGTAATAATAATTTATTTTATATTAAATATATGAGTAAGTGAAAAATTTTATTATTATCAAGTGAAAAAATTTATTATTATTATTATAAACATATAAGAGATCAATTTATTTAATCTTTTACACTTATAATTTTTTGAATCATTCCGATTAGTTGTGTATATAAAAATATTTTTTATTAATACAATAATTTTTTATATAAACGATTAAATGAACTATTTGAAAAAAAAAACTGCACATATTTTTATAGGAAATTTATAATATAATGCAAATTAAGTATCTAAATTTTATACGTATTTAAACTGCTGCATGAAAGAAGGGCAGGCTCGTCAAATGTCACGCAGTCAATGAAAATGCGCCACAACTCGGCGAGTGCTCGCCGCCCAAAGTACGATGAAATATGGTGCACGTGTCACTGTTCTGTATGGGAAATAGAAATGGAAAATGAACTCTAAAAAGTGATTTCCTTTTTCTGTTTTTTAAGGTTTCCCGATCAGGATTATTGGTGACTGTGCCTTTCCCTTTCTGATATGAAACCTTTTTTTCCCCGGTCCTCGTTCTGACACGAAGCTTTGAAAATTTAAATGTTCTACCTTCAGATTATGTTAGGTACTTCTCTGATCTTATTTATAAAATATTTTTAGCATATTTTATATAAATAAAATTTTTTTAAAATGTATTAACTCTCTATTAAAATATAAATTTTTTTTAAATTTATCTATATTTAATATATACACTCTTCAAAAGAGATAATTATCTACATTATAATAAATGAAGGATAAAATAGTACATTCATACTGAAAATTTAATGAAATGACTTATAAATCGGATCAAAAAACTTTCTCTCTCTGCTCTAGGACTAGAGGAGTATAGTGTTGGTGATATATGACTTGCATAAACTTTTTTAAATCAGGTAAAAAAAAGAATACTCTTTTTTAAATGGATTAATTAAGACTAAAACCAAATTTGCTCATTTTAAGGATAAAACTTAAAATAAGATTAATTTTAAAGATTGAAAATGTTAATCTTAAATTTTATAACAAGTTTAAATTTTTCTTTTATTTTAACAAAATTTATTATGAGTGACTTATAAATAAGTCAAAATAAATTATTCAAATATTTTAAAAGTATTTAACAGAAAACACCGTAAATAAAAACACACTTTACTGTGCCAAAAAGGCAAAGAGGTCCACTTCTATTTATCAACTTACCATAAATAGCTGGCTTTTTACGTAGCAAGACAAAAAGGAAAAAGCTACAGTACTGAAATAATCCTACCGGACGAGTTAGTATAGTTAGCTAATTTGAGTAAACTAAAAAAGTTAATTAAATTAGTTAATATGATATATCTTTTCTAAAACATCCTAAGCATCTTATTAATTTTCTTCTCTTGTTTCCTGCTTGATTATTGTCGAGACAATATTAATATGATTAATGTTAAAAAATTAATAAACATATAAAATAAGTCTCACTAATATCAATTCTCAAGTTAGGTCGTACAATAAAAACTAAAAGAGTATTAATTAATCACCAGAACTTACGCCTATCATGTATGTTTAGCCTAGGCGCGCTGTTCTTGTTCCCCTCTCCTCTATTCTTTCACACAATCATACTTACGGGCGCCGGCGTGCTTGTACGATGCATATGGGCCCCTGGCAAACTCAGCATCATCTTCTTCGTCATCATCATTATATTTCTCGACCATAAACTCTGAATCACTATCACGCTATTCACGACATATCAGACTGTATTACTTGTGATAATGGAACATGCAGTTTTAAAAGCTCTGCTGATTTTTTTTTGGGGGGGGGGGACAGAGAGGGAGAACTATACTGATTTACTTTCTGTTATATAAATTCATCATATTTATTGAAAATGAAGATATATTGCTGCTAAATTCTTTTTTTTTTCCCCCCATATCGGAACCATAATTAGCTGCCACCTGAATACTGGCCAACTCTGATATATGCTCCAGCATGCACTTTTCGTAGTGGGCATAAAAATGTATGGTACTTAATTATGATCGTGAAATCCAATATCCCAGTGGCAAACAGCTTTTGACGCTAACCTCTGATTTGCGAAACCTTCCATACTTAGAAGGGTTCCATCACACACACACACACACACACACACAGCAGCTTCTGTTAAATAACCAAAATTATTATACCAATTGGTAACAGTATTACGTTAAAAAATTTAAATTGTTCATGGTCTTTTGCTTCTTGGATGTTAATGATGGATATCGATTTTCGATAATTATTAAGCGACTATATCATTGCTTGTTTTAAAAAGGCTGAAAATTTGAAAAAAGAAATTACAAATTGATATATATTTTTCTTAAAAAAAAATCTTGGTGTCACATATATTGAATAATTGCGTCTACCGGCGGCAGAAAAAGAAACAAGCTGAGTAATCACTTTATCACTTCTCCTCGCCTTTGCAACTTTCGAAAAATTTGCCTATATATTTTTATTTGGCGTATTATAGTATAGAGCCCCTGTATTGTTTTTTTTGGCAAAATTACCTCTAAATTACAGTTTTCATTTTTAATTGTGATTATCTTACAAGTCACTTATACCTACTTCTATATTTTTTCAGGGTGAAAACCTACTTCTATATTTTAATTAGGGAAAACCATATCATGGGTATCTCTACTTTCTCTCAATTTTTAATTTGATACCTATGTGTTTTTTCCTCTTAATTAAACATTTAATTTTATTTTTTTTAGCAACATTAGTCTTATAACTTTGTTCTATTGGTATTTTTAGTCTTTATATAATGATTAATGATGTTAATTGAACAAAATTAAAAATTTAGTTAAGAACAAAAAATATATAGGTATCAAATTAAAAATTAAAAAAAAATACAGGTAACTCCAATATGGTTTTTCCTTTTAATTATAATCAAAATAAATTTTTCAGTACAAACACAGCGGGGATTTTACGCGCGTTTCACTAAAGAGACAAAAAAGCCTAATACGATGCAAAACTACCCGGCTAATCTGAGCATAGGGTTAAGACTCGAGCTGCTCTTTGTGGCTGGTTTTTTATTGGATGAACCCACGTGAACCATGTCAGGGAGGAGGTGGGGCCACAGGATCAGAAGATATGATATGATCTGATATTTTGGCATCAAAGAATACATTAGAAATTAGGTAAAATGATGATTTTCTCAAACGCTTTTTACATGTGTCAAAATTAATCATCAACTTGCAATGATGCTGGTAACTGCTAACGTGAGTTGTCAACAAGTTAGATAACCTACTAGTTTAGTTTTTAATAAAAAATTTATTTAACTAATTTAATTAGATTAATAAAATTATATGAGCTAATTAATTATAAAAAATATGATATATTTTTATTAAAATGTCATAATTATCCTTTTTAATATCTTATTTCTGTTTCATATTTAGTTATAGTTAGGAGAATATTAATAAAAATAATTTTAAAAAATAGATAAAATAAGTTTTATATTTAAAATAAAAATTAATCTAATAATTAAATTATATATTAAGAATTGATAGAGTATAAGTTATCACCAAAAACATTCAAAAAACTGTGAGCTTAAAGACGCAAAATTCAGTGGCGAAGTAAAAAAGCATGCAAAATTCGAGATCACGGGAAATAAATTATGGTTCTCCCCGCCTTACAAAGGAGACCAGCGGGGGCAAGTGTCAATCATGACCCACATCGTACACGAAAGTCTCGTCAATTTAATTTAAAATTCTTTTGACATTTTTTTTTCAACTTTTAATATATGACTTAGTTAATTAATTTAACTAAATTAAAAATATTAGTTATATTGATTAATATGATATTTTTTTTAAAATACTTTAAATATTTTTTAATTCCCTCTCTTCTTCTCTTACTTGATTATTCTTGAAACATATCAATAAAATTAATTTAAAAAAAATTGATAAACTTATAAAATAGATTTTATATATAAGATTAATATCAATTTTCTAATTAAATCTAGCGTTAAAAACTGAAAGAGGAGTACCTATTTTCTATAAAATAAAATTGTTTAAAATAAGATAATCTAAAGCGCCAGAAGGGAGTGCGCCTCATTACTTCCGTCTTCCACCGTAAGCTTCTTTGAACTGCGATAGAGCCTAAGAAAGAATACAAAGCAAAACAACCGCAGCGAATGGCATAGCGGTTTCTTGGGAAAGTGATCGAAGAGTCTTCGTTATGTCTTCACGTGACCCCTGTTCTGGTGTTTCATCTCTGCACAGTCGAGGCAAAATTGAGCCTTGTACAGAATCTGAGGACATTCAAGCCGGCGAGAAAGGACGCCTGATGAGTGATGACAAATGAGACTGAAATTGAATGTCTTTTGTGTTGTATAGAATTAGCAAATGGTAAGTGATTTTTGGATGTATGATTTGGTTGAAGTTTTTTGGTTTATATTGTCATGTTATCCCCTTTTTTTAAAACTGAAAAATTTACACTTCCACACAAATAGCCCACAAAATCCGGGCACTTAATTGAGCTGGGTTTATAAGAAGCCCAAAAGTTAGGCCTAAACTAACAAGCCTAGATAAAGTTTAAAGGGGACTTCCTAACTGGCCCAATTTTATAAACAATGGCGGCTCACTTTCATGTTTCATCCGGTCCTCATCTGCGCGAGGGATAAACTAATAAACACTGATAATTTACAGAAAGTACTACTCTCTTGATTCTTAATATAAGATGTATTTAACTAATTTAATTAGATTAAAAAAATTAGATAAATTATTTAATTATAAAAAATATAACATATTTTTTTCTAAAATATCATAATCATATTTTTTAATATCCCATCTCTTTCTTTTATTTGATTATGGTTGAGGGAGATTCACATGGATAATTTAGAAAAAAATTAATAAATATGTAAAATATATCTTATATTTATGATCAAAATCAATTTAATAATTAAATCTTATATTAAGAACTGAAATAATATTTCTTTGCAAAATGCCTCTAATTATTACATTCGAAGAAAGAAATGCGAGGCTCAAAAAGCAAAGAAGAAAGAAAGCATTCACACGAGAGCTAGCCGAGGAACAACAATAAAGTAGAGGAAGAATAAATTGTCATGTTGATTACATTATTATGTTTTTTTTTTTTTCCTGACACACGAAATTTACTCGAAAGCAGCAAACAACTTTACACAAAATGCCTTGAAGGGCTTATATCTTTTTAATTGAAAGACACTAACTTCAATCCTAATTATAAAAATTAGTCGATTAATTTAAGAGGATTAAAAAAATATGTTAAGTTAACTATTTGTAATAAACATGTGTTATTTTTTTTAAAGTATCTTTACTAATCAAGTGTATTGACGAAAACTATTCTTATTAGAAGAACTACTTAAAAAAAAATATATAAATATAAGAGATAAAATGGATTGAGATATTATATCTAAGATCAAGATAAAAGTAAAACGAGATTTTATATTAAGAACTGGAAGTAGTATTAATTACTAAATTGCGATCTTATGATATTGAGGTTGTAATTGCAAATTTTATTTTAAAAAATAACAGAAGTATTTGAGGATCTAAATTTCTCCCCGGATGCTATCAGGAAGGAGCAGGAAAAAATATTCGATTTAAGATTGCATAAAAATGGTCTTTAAGTCAGAGTTAATTGTTAAAGTGCTTAGAGCCAATATTAAAAAGCAACTGCAATAAACAAAAAGACAAATCTGGTTTTCAGAAAAACACTAAAAGGTCAAACAAAAAAGTAGAAATAACAATTTCGATCGGACAAGTTTTCATTTTTCAATTATGGCCCAAAAAAGTTTTTCTTTTTCAATGATAGCACGGCAAAACCGGCAGTTAGACCGCCCAGGGCAGAGTGTCTACAAAATGTCAAAATTCCTTGCCAACGCAAGTCGTTAACCGAAGCTATCGATCTCTTTTTGGGCCGCCTGAAGCCAGAATTTCAATTTCTGGTACAACGTGGGTCTCCAGTTTTAATAAAATCTCTCTATCCGTGCCCTTTTCCCCCACCGTCTACGTACGCAAGTGCTTCATTACCCCTCGAATTTTTACGTTTGCTTTCTGAAGATTTGATCGCAGAACAACCTTCAGATTTCTGTCTCTTCCGCCATGGCTGCTGTGTCCGATGACGCCACTAGTATATGTGCTCACTGGTAAACATAGGATTTACGGATAATTCTCCTTATTTGCCTTCCCCAAATTTGTTGACGAATTTGTGATTTTCTTCCTTCTGAATTTTGAGCTAAAATCGCTTAATTCGATGGGAATCTGGGGACTACTTGCTTCGTAGGCTGTGTGCTCGTGTAGAATGGTTTTGCATACCCATTAAGGCGGTTGAAAAACTGCAATTTGACTTGAAGGATCGCCTCGCGGCGACGAACTTTCTCTTACGCTCATGTGTTAGCCTACTTTTGCGATATCATTGGGTGGTTGTAGGAAAATTTTTGAAGGTTCTCTTCCCCTAGACATGGTTTATTGCATCGAAGTGTAGTTGTTTGTGTTCTGATTGCCTTCAGCCAGAAATTGTTGATGAATTGTTTTCTAATGTTACAGTAATCGTGCTATCCCTGCTGCAAATATTGCTCTGCATTACGCCCATTGCTCCCGGAACCTTGAAAAATGCAAAATTTGTGGTGATATGATTTCAAAAAGAAACTCCGAGGATCACTTTTTAAACACTCATGCACAGGTATGTGAAGTTTTGTCTTTTTGCTCTCTTCTTTCCGATTCAAATTCAAAGGAAGTGGTAGAAAAAATCAATGAAGGTCATGTTACGTGGAGATAAAGTGAAAAGGGGGAAATAGGAATACAAGAGTTGACGTGGATGTCAAAGGAAAGACGTGAATCTGTCTCATGTAAGGCTGGAATTTGTAGTAAACGGTCTGAGTCTTTGTTTGGGTGCTACCAGTTCAAAAATTGAAGTCTTGGTGGCAGTTAATAGCCGATCTGGAACTTGACCAAAATGGATGCAATTAGCCATTAAACGCACCATGCTGTGGGTTTGATGGTGCTCGAGTTTCAAAAAGGTTTAAATGCTGTTGATAGGCAGCTTTTATAAGACATGAATACTTGGGCCTTGAAGTATTATCATTCTGGAGCCACTAGATAAGGCCCATGTGTTCATCTCTTGTTCATGATTGCTGCACTTTCATGGTCAACTGTGTAGCTGTTGAAGTAATAGCTGCAAAACAAACTTCTTCCAAAAGTTCTCTTCTGAAAATACCATTGCTATTTCCCCTTCCTCTTCAATGCATGGTCTCACAGATTAAGTCCCCTCATCCTGTACTCCCATTTGTGTCGATCTGATGAGAGATTGTCCACCAATCTGTTGCTCCATTCTCTTTCCTTTTCTATACACAATCTCATGGGCATGGCCTCTGTTCTGCACGCCAATAACTGGGGCCTTGCCTTTGTTTTTCATCCACTTTCCTTTTAGCTGTTTGAATTATTTGGTGTTGGGACATGCATTTGAACTGGTAATGGTTTTGTAAACAGGGATTGTATCACTATCTGGGTTGTCTAATGGGATTTATCAGGTATTATACTGGGTTCTCTGGTGGGAATATTGGGTTGGCTGAGGGTAATTTAGCAAGATCCCTTTCATTAGGGCAGAAGCCTGTTTATGTAAGGCTTTGATGGAGGTTTCTTGAAGGCATTTTCACTGGCTACGTACATGGTATTGGGCTGCTTGGATGCCAGAACCAATCCCCATAATAGAATAGCTTCTAGATAACTCTTACTTGAACCAAGAACTCTTCAGCTCCTTAAACTTTTCTGGGTATCAGTTTATCTCCATCATGGCGTCCACCTCAGGCACATCACTGAAATTTTCATGTTCTTGAAATAGCCTCCCCAACTTCTTCTTAATGAAATTTGAGTGCTGCTGTGATGCTTTCCTTTTGACGTGTACACAAAGCAACTGAATCCTCTAGTCTGCTGAGGCGTGTCAATGTTAAGAATTTCTTGGTATCGGAGACCAATCCACAGAAATCACCTCTGTTGAATTTGCGGAGCTCAATTCAACATTGTTTTGTTGGAACAAATAATTGAGATTAGTCCTCTAGTCATTCTTTTTCAACAATGGAAAATGCTTGTCAATCTGTTATAGCTGACCATGCCAAGTGCGTAGTTATTGCCTTGTGGGTCCAGCTATTTGTGATGTTATCATGTAAAATAATATCTGGCTGTTCGTGATCTTAGTGTTAGATATGCATTTCATTTTTATTTTAGTGGTTTTCCAGAAGAGTTGTTCATTATGCAGGTTGCCTGTTCGATGTGCCACAAGATAATGGAGCGCAATCTGCTAGAAATCCACGAAGGTGAAAGCTGCCCACAGAGAATTGTCACCTGTGAGTTCTGTGAGTTCCCATTGCCAGCAATTGATCTGGCTGAGCATCAGGTAGTGTTCACTAATGACGTTAAATTTAGAGGCTTTGTCTCTCCATATTGATGGACATGCGCTTTGGCACTAATCTTAGTATGATGTTCATATTTCTTAGGAAGTATGTGGGAACCGAACAGAACTCTGTCAACTTTGTAATAGATATGTCAGGCTATGTGAAAGGGACAACCATGAAGCCAGGTGCAATGGCATCCCAGATAATATTGTGGGATCTTCAAGGTTGGAACTTGGAAATATCATTATTTAATTTCATTCCTGTTAGGTGTTATTGAATTTTCCTTTTAATTGATTTTTGTGCTCAAAATCACCAGTATTTCCAAAATTAAAACCGTTATGTTATGGTTATTATAATATTGCAAGCATTCTATGAGCAAGAATATATGTTACCCTCTTCTATGAGCAAGAATATATGTTACCCTCTTTTGTATGTCGCTCATATGGATGGAGATGGATGAAATAGTAATATCGGTGTCATGGACATTATGCAATATGAACGTTGAATTAAATACCATCTATTTGATATTCGATATATCTGTTCGATAAGTTTCATCGTATGTGAGAATATTTAGCCAAATTTGTCTTTGATTTTCCCGCCTAGTAAATGAGTTCGAAAAGGCTTGTTATAAAGTTTTATGAAGTAAGTGAATCTTCTGTGTTGGGAAATTTATTCCCTTGCAATGCATCCTGTGGCGATGCTGACGAAAGGCATTTCTTCCTTGTGATTGAACCATTTGCTTGTTATGTTTGTCTGAAGGGATGCGAGGGCACGTGAAAGAGATGAAGGTGCTAGAAGGCGACCGCAGAATGACTACTCAAAAAGTCATATTCTACTCACTGTAGCGGTTACTGGCGTTGCTGTTTTGGTTGGATCTATTTTGTTCCAGAGGAGGACGGAGCACAGTGATTTGCATTAGCCGCTGATTTTGAGCATGTTTTCTACGATTATATGCTTCGAACTATTCGTATCCAGCATAAGTCATATGACCTATTGCGATTTATACTTCGCTATATTCTATTGCAGCACTTCGGCATATGCATAAACTCATCTATCACAATAGCGCTTCCTTTTGTTCCCTTGTAGTATCAGTAAAATTTTGTCCTCCGTTCATACACGAGATAAATAATCGAATTGTGAGTACCGAAAAAATATGGTTAAAATTAGTTAAATTTCTTAGATATGTTATAAGTTTAAAAATTTTTCCAAAAAATGTTTATATTAAATATTTGACATAATGATTTATTAATGATACTAATTTAATTATTTAATACAATTAATGGTCCAACATTTTTTGTATTTAGAAGAAAGTCAGAAACGCTCATGTTTTTAATTAAGAAGGGACGGAGGAGTATGAGCACATGAATTAACCGTTTCGCCTGTCGGGTGAGTTTTATTGCTAGATTATTTTCTCATACGCGCTGGAGGTGAGAAATTGAGAATGGTTCTTTTTGGCCATTCGAATGTTTTTTTTTTTTTTTTGAAAAAGAAGTAAAATGAGGGGACCATCTGTCTAAATGACCAGGCGGGAAATTCTCTCTCACATTTTTTTTTTTGCCGTCTGAAGAGGGGAAATCAGGAATGCTTTTAACATTTTTTTTAAAAAAATATTTTCGTAGACTCCGTTATGCGGCACCGTGGATGCCATCACTGTGTACTGTGTAATGTTCCTGCTGTTTCCTTTTCTGTTAAGTCGTCACTTCTGCGCTTGCTGCGGCCAAGAGATCATACTTTCTGCTGCGTCTCTGGCTCCGTTTTCGTCAACTTTCCTTTTCTATAACAAATCATGAAAGCTATTGATGTCTTGGCGAATTTATTTTGCTGTAAAATCTCTCTCCCCCTGTAATTTCTGGCCATTTCTTTTGGTTGTTAAAATGATCTAATTCAATTGTAATTGAGTCATTGTCTAGGAAGTTAAATGGAGATGTCAACTATTTATTTCACGTGACGAGGACAGAATCATTGATTACCATCCTAAGCTCCATGTTTTTGTTGAGAGAGGAAACCGAACTTCATGAAAGATACTAATATTTCTGGAAGACGAAGCGTAAATATATATTCAAAATCGTTTCTCTTCCTTTATATGGAAATTTTTATTGCATCACATTGACATGCATTGAAAATTCACGTGGAAGAGAAGTGATGATCGATCGATTCTGTCATCTCGTGAAAATGTTTCCTTTAAATTCTGCAGGACTCTCGACCTAGACTCGAGAATTTTACTGATCGCAGCAAGTTAGTCAAGATAAGCCACAACACAACATGTCGACCCCAGGGGTTCGGTGGCATCTTCAAGGTCGTCATGTAAGTTGATTTGTTCAATTTTTTCCGCTTCTTATTCTAATTTTCCATTGTAGAATCTAGATTTACCTTTATACTGCCCAGAACACTTCTGAAGATTTGACTTATATTTGCAGGTGGTGATGGATAATGGCATACTCCAAGTTACCTTATCAAACCCTGAGGGAATTGTTACCGGGATTCGATATAATGGTGTCGACAATTTGCTTGAGGTCCTTAACAATGAGAATAATCGAGGGTATGCGGTGTGAGAATTTGATTCATAAACAAAATTTTATTTTTTTGCATAGAACAATGAACTCTAACCTTCATGTTATTAAAAGGATTTTTTAACGATTGTGTAAATATCAAGGGTAGTTGACATATGTTGAGCTGGAAGTTGATCTTGCATTCAATTTAATATCTAGGTACTGGGACCTTGTTTGGAGTGCACCAGGAAGCAAAGGAATCTTTGATGTGTATGGCGATGCTTCTCACTCTTGCCCTGGAAGTCTATGAAAATTTCCAGTCCTGTCAATTTTTCAGAAAAAATGCATCCATTAAAATGAGATTTCCCCCCCAATATCAGACCATAGTAGAATTGAAAACTGGTTCTCAAACTCCTCTATCTTATATTGTGTCCCTTTAAAAATCCTATTGATATATATCATTTTTTCTCAGAATGATCACATGCAAACTAAATGTGAAGCATTCATTTATGATCCAGGATAAAAGGGACGTGTTTTGAAGTTATTGTTCAAAATGAGGAACAGGTGGAGCTTTCATTCACACGAATGTGGGAACCTTCTCTTGAGGGGAAGTTTGTTCCCTTAAACATTGATAAAAGGTCCTTGCTCAGATAGTGTAGATCATTTCCTTTTTATTCAAATGCTGGCTGCAGAATTAATATTTGTAAGTGGTGAATTTCAGATTCATAATGCTCCGTGGTTCATCAGGCTTCTACTCTTATGCAATATATGAGCACTTAGCTGGATGGCCGGATTTTGATATTGGTGAAACGAGGATTACTTTCAAGCTGAGAAAAGACAAGTAAATAAAAAATTTGTTTTTACACGCTTTATGCATCACACTTTGTTTTACACGCTTTATGCATCACACTTTGTAATAAAAAACATGGATTATATTTGTGCAAAAATAAAGGACTATAAAAGATAATACAGTTTGACGAAAATAGTGTTACTCATTCTTGGTTTGTTTTTCCTATTTTGTCTCAACTAGACTTTACGATGCTTTCTTTGTTTAAAATTTAACTTCTAAATTATGCGATAAAACTTGGAGATAGCTTTGCAAGAAAAACAACAGTTCTATTGTACAAATCTGAAGGCAGAATTTATTTTAGCACTTCTCTCTATGGCTTATGTTCATGACGATGACATTTCAAGGGTGAGCAAAGATGGTCACATGAGACGATAGGCAATCTTTCTTTGTTATTTTTAGATGTTCAACCAATTTAACAAAGAAGTATATAGGTTTAATTACATGGCTATAGAAGACAGTCGGCAAAGGATTATGCCTCTTCCAGATGATCGGTTACCAGGAAGATGCCAGCCCTTGGGCTATCCTGAGGCTGTCCTGCTAGTCAATCCCAAAAATCCACAACTCAAAGGCGAGGTACTTGTTGCAATGATTTCCTTTAGTGTTTCTTTTGTCATCTTAAATCTTGCAATAGTATATTTTAAGATTTTAAATCGATGTAAATGTTGGTGGAACCAATAAGTTTTGAGTGCGAAGGGTCCACCAAGATCATTTTCATTTGGCTATTTGAAAAGGATATAAAGATGGTTTCCTCTTCATAGATTCAGTGCCTATGAAGTGATCCATTGCGTTTTGATATGACTTCTTCATGCACAGGTGGATGACAAGTATCAATATTCATGTATTAACATGAAAAATCAGGTCCATGGGTGGATATCTTTCAACCCACCGGTGGGATTCTGGCAGATCACACCTAGTGATGAGTTTCGTTCTGGTGGACCCCTTAAGCAGAATTTGACCTCACATGTTGGCCCTACCACACTTGCTGTAAGTGAATGATCTTAGAGCGTTATGACAGTTTCCTGGCATGGCTTGCTAACTGAGTGCCACCACAAATTGAGATTAAGTGATCTCATCTGATTGCAATGTCATAACATAAATTACATTGTCATCTTCAGATGTTTCTTAGTTCACACTATGCTGGACAAGATTTAGATCCCAAATTTAGATGTGGTGAACCATGGAAGAAGGTTTTTGGTCCTGTATTTATTTATCTTAATTCTGGATCAATTGGTGATGACCCACTCTGGCTCTGGGAGGATGCAAAGATACAGGTTTGCCATGGAACTCTTGCACTCCTCTTGTGATGGGGTAGATAGAGTGATTTGAATGGTGAGGTTTTGTGAGAGACTGACGGAAAATAATATTCAGATGACGACTGAAGTCCAAAATTGGCCGTATTTTTTCCCAGCTTCAGAGGATTTCTTGAAGTCAGATCAACGGGGTAACATTAGTGGTAGGCTAAATGTGTTAGACAGGTAAGCAGTCGGTATGGCCTTCGTTATCTAAACTTTTTCCCTTTTGTATAAGATTTTTGGATGAGTTGGTGTGGTTGGCATACACACTTGGTTTTACTCCTTGAAAATTTTCAAACATATAGCTCTTATAGCTACAATTATTATCTATTCACAACATTCATGATTTTCTTACAACAAAAGAAAAAAATCAGTGAGGATCAAGGATTTTTTTTTTTCACTTTAAATTTACTGAGTTGAATGAGGAGTATAAGTCAATTAATGAGTTGCAGCAAGACTGTGGTTGCTTTTTTACCCTTGTCCGGGCAATTGGATTAAAACTACTCTAAATTTATCTTTAGGTGCATCAGCACAGATTTGATCCCAGCAACTGGTGCTTATGTTGGTCTTGCCCTACCGGGTGAGGCAGGGTCATGGCAAAGAGAATGCAAGGTTTTCTTTACTCCTCTCATTTATTGAAACCCAACGGTTTAGTTACATGAATAGCATGCAGGTTGCACTCTATTTTATTCTCTTGGGGTGAGGGTGGGGGAATCACACCTTTTTTTTCTTTTTCAAAAAACGGATTTTGTGGGACCGTGTTACTTTTTCTTATTGCTCGTTAGGACTAAATTGAACTAGATGACAATCCCTTGCAGTGTCTTACAGAGCATATTATTGGTTCTTTGGATCAAGCTTCTGAAAAGAGCTGTCTTTTGTAGTGCTGCAATGATCTTAAAGAGATTTTAGCAATCTTGCAAACTAATTTTAAAGAGATTGTAGCAATCTTGCTAACTAATTTTAAAGAGATTGTAGCAATCTTGCTAACTAAGGCATTTCGTTTGGAAAACATATATCATGTAAAACAAAGTTCTAAGAGGAAGATAATCATTAGATGTTACCTTTGTTTAGGATTTAAGGGAGAATGGACCAGGAGAGTTCTATTCTGGAGTGCTAAAAGATGCCCCCTTTTCAGATGATATTCTAACTTTTGCATCCTGTCAGGGCTATCAATTCTGGACCAGAGCAGATGAGAATGGATTTTTTACCATTAAGAATGTACGTCCAGGGGACTACAACCTTTATGCTTGGGTCCCTGGTTTTATTGGGGACTACAGATTTGACGATCTGATGAGGATAGATTCAGGTGTTGCATCCTCAACTTGTTGAATTTGAGATCATTTATCATCATATGATCAACATGCACATACTGTAATGCAGGTTCTTATATCGAATTGGGTGAAATTGTGTATGAGCCCCCAAGGGATGGACCCACGCTGTGGGAAATAGGCATTCCCGATAGATCTGCTGCAGAATTTTACATTCCTGATCCAAATCCGCTTCTCGTCAATAGGCTTTTTGTCAACCATCCAGACAGGTTAGCTACTATTGTGGTTGAATGGTCAATCTTTTCTTCCATTTATTCTTTAGTTGCTAAAATCATTAGTGAGCCTCATGCATCGCATGGAGTTTGAGTTGTACTGTGCTCGTGACTTGTAAATAGTACAACTTGTTGTAGATTTTGCATCATATATTGATATTATTTTTTTTTGCACACTTTTGAATTTATGCTACATGTAACACGAATAATTTTTAAATATTTCTTCTTCCAACTGAGCCTTCTTTCAAGGATTGGTTAAAGTACTTCGTTTTCACATGCCTTTAGGTCTCATTTCTTTTCTGCAACTGGCAGGTTCAGGCAGTATGGACTGTGGGACAGGTATACAGAACTGTATCCTGATGCTGATTTGATTTACACAGTCGGTGCTAGTGATTATTCCAAAAACTGGTTTTTCGCTCAGGTTCCCAGGTTTGAGTCCCCACCATCGATTTTTGTTTGCATAACGTGGCTGACTAATCGTATAATACCTGCTTCTTGATATCTGGTTGAATTTCTGTGTTATAAGATTACAGAACATAGACTAATTTTTCAAGCCTTTACAACTGTAGAAAGAAGGAGGATAACACTCTTCAAGGTACAACTTGGCAAATTAAGTTTGATCTCTGTAATGTTGCTCAGGGAAGTACATATAAACTAAGAGTTGCAATTGCATCTGCAACGTTAGCCGAGGTGCAGGTAATTTTCCCTCAATCTCTACCACACCCACGCACACAGAGGGAATTCTTGTCTGGTTCTTGTGCAAAATACTAACAAAATTTTATGTTAAACTATATACATTTTTCTGTGAAGATTCGAATAAATGATCCAAATGCAAAGCGTCCCCTCTTTACCACTGGATTAATAGGAAGGGACAACTCAGTTGCAAGACATGGAATTCATGGGCTCTATCGGCTGTACCATGTGAATGTACCAGGTGCTGCTCTTGTTGATGGCATAAACACTATATTTTTAACGCAACCAAGATGCAACAGCCCTTTTCAGGGAATCATGTATGATTATATTCGTTTGGAAGGCCCTCCTTGTTTTTAGAGAAGAACTTTAATATCCTTTTAAGTCAAACATTAGGACAGAGAACCATTTGGTACAAATTTGTGGGCGCATACGTCCCCTTGGAATGTCAGTTATTGATAACGCTATATTCTATTATTATTATTTTTTGTCATTTTTTGTACTCAAGTCTTATGGCTTGAATTATAAAGACAGCAACCTTGTCACATATTATAAACAGATAATTTATGCACAGCCATACTTCTGTAGACATCTTCCATCTTTAGAATGCCATATCTAGGTTGCTTAGGTTACACTTTGTGGTCCATGGCGATAGATCTGAACTTAAATTTTTCACAACTGGATAACGTCTAGTTATGCCCCAGCCCTCTTTTTTCCTGAAAAAGAGGAAGGACCACTTGTAGTTGCTTTGCTTATGGTATACTTCCATGTAATGAATTGTGGTGAATACAGGTATGGCTCGGTTGTTATATGCTTAGCTATACTCTTTTGTTAGTTACAGATTTATCAAACTATTGGTTGCAACTTGCAATGCTGATTAAAGGGATATGTAAGAAATCTCTCCTGACTGATTTGTTCCAACTGCTCTAGGGCCAGCTGTTTTATAAACATCGGTTCTATTTCATTTGGTAGCGCTCATAGGACCACTAGCTGATGTTATTAACAAATATTGACTAATGTTAAGTAGTAACAATAATTTTTTTTTTTTTAAAAAAAAGAAACCTTAAGTTTCCCCGCTATAAGATCGAGCTCAACCAAAATCTATAAATACAGTAGTGCCCATTGGTTTCCAACTTTCCATGCAGCTTTGTTTCATTAAAGAAAACTTGCGTGCTCAATTTATAAACTCATTTGGTAATTAAGGAGCAACTTGGTGAACATTGAGATTCTAATATTTCTTTTGTCAACGTTTATAGTTTTCTTGAATCTGAGTAAAAAGTCAATTCCCAGCAGCTCTACCGAGCGAGGTTGCGGCTTAACTCTCAATCAAATAGACAAGGGGAAACCAAAACAGGAAAAAAGGAAAAGGAAAAAGTAAAGCTGTCTCACATTTTTTATCTGCTGCTTCTTCACTTGTACGCTTTTATCTAAACACACCAAACTGCTTTGGCGACGAAGTAAAGAGATTAAACGAGAGTCTAATAAAGAATGCTTTCTTGCTAGTTTAAGAAAACTAAACCAATCCTTTGAAGTCCCCTAAGATTTCCCCAAATTCTATTGGCAGATTGCTGTGCAGTAACACGTAAGCGCAATTTGTTTTCTCAAGTCGTGTTTGAAAAAGCTTCTCATTCTAACGAAGGCCACCCACTATTTAGTTCCCATCGACAAAATGTTCTAAGCCATTCTCAGAGAACTCTAATTTTCGAAGCCTTTCATCTCTGACTCTGTGAGAGTACCATCATGGCGCTAACAGGAGTGCACCTGCTTATTGAAGATAGACATGTACTTGAAATCTTATTTCTAGCTATAAAGATGTTCTTTTCATCTTCATACTGTTCTTAATTAATTATTGTTCATTATAGAATATTCTTGCACTATGAATCGAGGGGTCACATTAAACTTCAGTTCATCAAATACGTTTCTTGTTAAGATGCATTCTTCAAATTAAATTAAATTCATGGTGCAGGTTGTGATTGACAATGGCATACTAAAGGTCACGTTGTCAAATCCTGAGGGAATCGTCACTGGAATAGAATATAATGGCATCGACAACTTGCTCGAATATCAGAACGAGGAATCTAATAGAGGGTATATTATATTGAATTTTTTTCCCAGATGGTATATAATGTTAAATACTTTGCTAAGTCCTTTTTTTTTTTTATGAGTATACTTTGCTAAGTCCTACTTGTTTAATAACTAATCTTTTCCCAAAAGAAAAAAAGAATAAGCTGCTTCCTTTTGTTCTTAACAAAACATATTAATTGACCACTCTTTTTTCTTGATGTATAGGTACTGGGATCTTGTGTGGAGCTCACCGACAAGTCCCGGAACGAGTGGAACATTTGATGTGTATGTCTTTTGTCTTTCCCTTCTATTCACGAGTTCCATTTTTCTTGTTTTCACTCCTCGCATATGATACAATATGAGTCGTTCATTTGCAGCATAAGGGGAACCAATTTTAAAGTGATAGTGGAAAACGAACAACAAGTTGAGTTGTCCTTCACAAGAACGTGGGATGCCTCACTTGAAGGCAAGCTGGTTCCCTTAAACATCGATAAAAGGTCATTAACGTTATAATCAACCATTATCAATTACATCGTTCGTAAATTATAAGATAATGCGGATCAGTCATCAGAATCTGACTAGCTATTATAATTTTTGTGAGCAGGTTCATAATGTGTCGCGGTTGTTCTGGCTTCTACTCCTATGGTATTTACGAACACTTAGATGACTGGCCCGCTTTCAATCTCGACGAAACAAGAATTGCTTTCAAGCTCAGCAGAGAAAAGTATATATATATGCACCTTTCATATTTGCTTGATTTTTCTAAGTTATTTCAGTTGCCTTCGTTAAGTTTCCATCAGGTTGATACAGTGCGAATGAGAAATAGAGTGAAATAATACACACACGGATGTAATTAATGTATACTGTATAATGATGGTATTTGGGCAGGTTTCATTACATGGCAATGGCAGATAATAGACAAAGAAACATGCCTCTTCCAGGTGACCGAAACCCACCGAGAGGTCAACCCCTTGCTTATCCTGAGGCTGTTCTTCTTGTTAATCCTGTCGAGCCTGAATTGAAAGGAGAGGTAATACTATAGATTTATTTTAAAATGATCATCGGTTGATAATTATGATTTCTTTAATTTAAGTTCTTGCGGATATATAGCAATAGCCAAAAGCGAAATCTAGCAAGCCTCCAAACAAAAAATGTTGATGCTTATTTTGTTCTGTAATTAACAAAACATTACATTTAAAAGGAGTTGACGTTGCAGAAATGTTTCCAGGTCTATGCTATAAATTTATGTTTCGTATACATCGTGCAATTGCTAATAATATATTCTTTAAGGTTGTCTAACCTTTTTACCAACATGTGGATAATAAAGCGTAGCTTTTGCTCATAACATCCTTCGAAGTAATTTATTAAAAAAGAAGTTACTAGCATCTCAAGGGGTTAACGATAAAATGACTTGATATTGATATTTTGAACAAGTCATTAGCAAGTATATTGATCCAACTAGAATATTGATTTGCACTAATATTAGCAATTGCTCTGAAGAATTACAACAAAGTTTAATAAAATGTGATAATTCTGAAAGATATAATATTTCGGCAAAAGGTGGCGCCGTATAATATTTCAGCAAAATATACTTTTAAATTAAGAAGTGCATGTGATGTGTGCATAGGTGGACGACAAGTACCAATATTCATGCGACAACAAAGATAGCAAGGTGCATGGGTGGATCTGCACCGATCCGGCGGTAGGATTCTGGCTAATAACTCCCAGCAACGAGTTCCGATCCGGCGGACCCCTCAAGCAAAACCTGACTTCCCATGTGGGACCCACCACTCTTGCGGTAAGTAGTTCCTTGATCGATGATTTAATTGTCTTCTCCAAATGTTCAATTATCTACTGAAACTCGTTATACAAATGCAATCTCACGGGCGTAGCATAGTGAAAACCAGACAACATGAAGCATTAACCTACATATTATGCATGAACCATCCCTTCATTATAGGTGAATATTGTAAATTAATGGGTGTCTTCTGAAACGAGGGAATCAGGTGTTTCTAAGCGCTCATTATAGCGGAGAAGATCTGGTGCCAAAATTCAAAGCTGGCGAGGCATGGAAGAAAGTTTTTGGTCCAGTTTTCATCTATTTGAATTCTTCCGATAATGGAGACAACCTATATAATAAGCTATGGGAAGACGCTAAACTTCAGGTCTCAACTCAGGATTTCCCTTACATATCATATATACCTCCATCCATTATCTAACACATATATAGCTTCGTGACACAAAAAATACACATTCTAAACTTGCAGATGCAGATAGAAGTTCAAAGCTGGCCCTACAATTTTCCTGCCTCACAAGATTACCTGAAGTGGGACGAACGTGGCAATGTCAATGGTAGACTATTCGTCCGGGACAGGTGTGCTCTTTTGACGCATTATTTTTTCTTGTTCGTTGGAACCTTGAATTGAATCAAAGATGATGATGACCTAAACCTGTTTGTCGAATTGATTGAAGCAAGCGGATATTGCTGCCATCTTGTGCTCTAGTGTAAATTTTGCTTGTTTCACAGATTTTGGTAGTCAAGACCTTCAACGAAAACATGATAATAATTGGAAGTTTGGGTTTCAAAAAAGTTTGTCCGCAAGGCATGTATTTATAAAAAATTTTGATAAGATGTGCATGAGGAACATTGCTCGCTTTAATTGTCTTTTGGTAATAACAATGGATATAGTTATGTTGGAGATGACAATATCTCAGCAAAAGGGGCTTATGTTGGCTTGGCTCCACCAGGAGACGCTGGATCATGGCAAAGAGAATGCAAGGTGATTATTGAAAATGGAAACTTTTCTTCCGTCAGTGATCTCATTTTCATTATAACGTACAGCACCATCTGTCTTTCAATGACTCAAATATGGCATTTTACTGGTTATTAGAATTATCAGTTTTGGGCCAAAGCAGACGATGAGGGATATTTCTCCATCAGCAATATACGCCCCGGTGACTATAATCTTTACGCATGGGTCCCTGGTTTTATTGGTGATTATAGATATGATGTGGTTATGAACATAACTCCAGGTACTGCTAAATATACCCATTATCCTTCTTTTCTGTTTTCTAGTTTCAGACAATCTTCGTCTGATTCTTCAATACGCTTGGTTTACGTATGTCCTGACCCCACAAATACTGAAATATGTTAAAAACAGGTTGTTACATAGTCGTAGGTGACCTTGTGTATGAACCTCCTAGAGATGGTCCAACATTGTGGGAAATAGGCATCCCTGATCGCACAGCTGCTGAGTTTTATGTTCCTGATCCCAATCCCAAATATATCAACAAGCTCTATGTTAATCATCCTGACAAGTTGGTCGCCCATTTATTTAATTTTTGATATGTGGATTGGCCCAAAAATATAATGATATATCATACATGGAACTGAATTTTTTTTGGAAGGAAAATGACTATGTAATTCATTCACTTAATTAAGACGCGATTATAATTGGCAGGTTTAGACAGTATGGGTTATGGGAGAGATTTGCGGAGTTATACCCTGACAAAGACTTGATCTACACAGTTGGTGTTAGCGACTACGCCAAAGATTGGTTCTTTGCTCAAGTTACCAGGTTCGTTTATTTTTTGCAAAGCATTTACGTTAAATTATTTTGATAGTTCCTATAACTTTTCCCAATTTTCAATTTTATCTGTACAAAAGTCTGTAACTAATTCTTCATACTTCTGTTACCATTAGTGTGCCATTCATTTTTTCGATTGAAAGAACTAAGCATTTGTCTCACAACTAGTAAACCCTGGCGCCATGAATTTTTAATTTGATCCTTCTGTTTAGCAGGAAGAAAGATGATAATACATATCAAGGAACCACGTGGCAAATCAAGTTCAAACTGGACAAAGTGAACAAGAGAAGTTTCTATAAACTTCGCATAGCTCTGGCATCAGCAACATTTTCTGAACTGCAGGTACTGAGGGAAAAAAAAAACTAATTTCACGTATTGGTTATACTAAATTCTCTCTTATACTTGAACCGATAAATACATGATTTATATGATATTTTTAGGTTCGAGTTAATGACCCAAAAGCACCTCGTCCTCTGTTTTCTAGTGGGTTGATAGGGAGGGATAACTCCATTGCTAGGCATGGGATTCATGGGCTGTATTGGCTTTTCACTGTGGACATAATAGGTGCTCGACTCGTGGAAGGAGATAATACCATCTTTTTGACTCAGTCAAGAGGCAGTGGCCCATTTCAGGGCATTATGTATGATTATATTCGTTTAGAAGGCCCTCCCTCCTCTGCTTCCGACGACCAGATTTGAGACTGAGGAGGTGTTTGGATAGAAACCAAATTATGGTTTTAAAAGTGTTTTTATGGATTACGAAGTAAATATGTGGAGGAGATTATCTTGTTTTGCGGAAAAGTGCTTCTGAAACTGTGGTTTTGAGGATACCAAACACTCCTGAGTTGTTTTGAATTTCTAACAGAATAATTTGAAAATAAGCAAAAACGATATGCAAATCATTCCGATGGAAAAAGGCAAGTTAAATTTAATTTTATGAGATTGTTTTTTTTTCTTTCCAATTTACTCTCCCCTCCCCCCTATTTTCTCATTATATTGTATTTCTATGTAACCAAATCATGATTCCAAATGGAAAAAGGCACTTATCTTTACAGTTACACGCATCATTTGCATGCACAACGCTATAAGCAATGGAAAAGTACCCAAACATGATACTATCTCTGGCCCTAAATATAAAATTTGTTTAACTTTTATTTTGATTATAAATATAAAACCCAATTAACTTTGTCTCTCGTATTTATCTTTTTTTTTCTTAACGTAGCCTTCATAATAATAATAGTTTTAATTAATATATTTAAATAGCAAATATATTTTAGAAAGATAATATTTATTTATTATAAATAACTAATATAACTAATTTTCTTAATCTACTCAAATTAATCAACTAGTTCTTATATGAAAGATCGGAAGATAATAATAGTTTAGGACGAAAAATTTTATGGCAATTAATTTGCATATATATTATTGAGAAATTATGTTTGACTTCGATCGTGCGGGGACCGCCTTCATCTAAGTGCAAGATGCGAGCCATATACCATATTTATGCGCAATCCTTTTTGGGGGATCCTCTTAGTTATAGTCATAATTGGATGGCATGATTTCATTGCAGAAACAATGATTCTGAGGGAGTAAGTATGAAGAGCACCGCCGCTAATTTAGCACCAGAGAGGAATAAGAGCACCACCCCCTTTCCATTAGGAATATGGTTGCAATGATGGAGCGCCACGTGTACATGTCTAATAATCATCTTAAAATACCCATCAACTTTCATAAAATGGAAACTTATTGGGCAAATTTCTAGCTTCTTTCCGCTGATTTTTTGTTGTTGTTGTTACTTGATCTTTATTATAATTCGTGAGATCAAATTTTAACGCGATAGGTTTCAAATCAAAATCACTAAATTTAATTAGATAATCAAATATTGCCGTGAACTGTCATCTCAGTGAATTTTTTTTCCCAAGTTTGAGAATATAAAATTTGTTTATACTCAATTTTTTTATATGATCATTTAGTGATACGTAGCATTTGAATGAAAAGTGAAATCTTGTTTACCGTTAACCTTGTAAATGGACAAATCATTCATCGATCCAAACACAAAAAAGGGAATTTTTTTCCTAGTCAAAAGGAATAGATCCATTGTCCGCTATTTCGGCGATAGATACATGCTACTCTCAAATTAAAAGGGATCTAATAAATAAGGCAGTTGCACGGCATATAGGTTTTAAAACCACGAAGGAAGTCATTAATGAGTAGTTATTCTACAATCCAAATCATTTAAGATGAAATCAAATCAAATTAATAGCGCAGATTGATAATTGATCGGTGCCCACATTAGGCGCCCGCTTCAAATCTCCGTACACCCTGCTTTGCAAAACACCATTTGCGTAAGCACAATTACCCTCTTATATTCCTTGGTTTATTCATGTGATTTCAAGCTTGCACACCCGTGACCAGCCGTGCCAGGGAGTCACGCCGACGAAGAAAAGGCCAAAACGGATTGAACAGAGAAATTGTCGGTAAAAAATAGATGCTTTGTCTGTAGTTGAAGAAAACTAACCCACCAATATTCCCCCACAAAAAAGTCTTTCACATGGCTCTAGTTTCCTCCCTGTTACCTAACTAGCATAACTAAACCTTTAGATTCGTTCCACCTAATAAATACTCCCCTTTTTTTTTTTCATTTGAAAGCCTCACTTTTCTTTAGTGGCTAACTGCAATATGCTTTTGCTCTTAAGCTCACAAGTCATGGCGTTATCCTATCTAGAAGCCACCCTCCCAATGAGAATGTCAAGTCAAATAAAATGTTATTCAATTTACCTTCCACCTAATTCTCCTGCTCCCAATGAAGATTTTCAATTGCAAGGCATTCTTGTCAAGTCTGCTAATGAAAGGTATGTGGGTTTTGCGTAGAAAACCGACAAGGACTAGGAAGCTGAATATTTTGTCATCAAGAAAAGCCCAGAGAGAGTGAGGCCTCGGAAGAGGACGATCGATGGTGACGATGATCCTCGCCAACCGTTTCCTGTTCTTCATGCTGCTGCTTGTTTTGGTTCGGGGCTATGTTCCTTATCCAGGTTTCTTCACTTAATCTTCTATAATCCTCTGTTCTGAAATTTTCTGCATGCTTTTATTCTCTGCAAAATAATAAAGCTGCAGTAGAATCGAATTTATGATAATATTGAGTGAAGATTGTGGGACATTCCAAGAGACTAATGTGCATCGTGTCATCCCCAGGAGTGCGATTGGAAATTCAAGATAAGCATGTAAAACATCCTCTACATTTCCTTAATATCTAAGGATAGCAATTTACACTCCATCTGTTTTCTTAACATTGGTAAGCCCCTGCTTAATAGCTTATATCAGTTTTATAAGCAAGTATATATGTAAATACTCTGCCCAGGTTGTGATGGATAATGGCATAGTCCAAGTCACCCTATCAAATCCTGAAGGATCAGTCACCGGAATCCAATACAACGGAGTTGACAATTTGCTTGAAGTTCAAAACAAGGAATTTGACAGAGGGTATACCAATTTTTTAATCTACCGCTCGTTAGAAATCATATCATCGGGAAGCTCTCACCTAAGCAAATTCACAAACACTTGACGTGCATGAAATAGCTATCAAATAGCGTACCATACTGACATTTCAAGTTTTCCCCTCTTTACATTCTTCTTTGGTGTGAGTACAGTTACTGGGATGTTGTATGGGGCGAGGCTGGTAAAAAAGGAACAAAGGGTACATTGGACAGGTAAAGTTCTTAAACCATTCCAATTTTATGATTGAACTTCGAACCCAATTAATGGTGAGGGTTATCCAGGTTGGAAGCCGCAAATTTTACAGTAATTGTTGAAAACGAAGAACAGTTAGAGTTGTCATTCACCAGAACATGGCTGCCTTCCCTTGAGGGAAAGATTCCGCCGCTCAATATCGATAAAAGGTACTCGAGCTTCCATAGTTCTTTCACAAACCAAGCCCTCCATTTTTAAATTTTTTGCTCTGTTTGAAGAGCTAAATAAATTTTTACTTTTGGTAGATTCATAATGCTTCGTGGTTCATCGGGCTTCTACACATATGCAATATACGAGCGTTTCAAGGGATGGCCTGCCTTCAATCTTGACAACACTCGGATTGCATTTAAGCTTCGGAAAGACAAGTAGGTTTAGATCCTCAGACTTTGGGAAAAAAAAACGTTAGCTCAATCGATGATCCTGATATGTTTGGTGCGTATAAACTGTAAAGGTTCCATTACATGGTTGTAGCAGACAATAGGCAAAGATTCATGCCGCTGCCCGATGACCGGTCAGAGGGAAGAGGGCAAGTTCTAGCCTACCCCGAGGCCGTCCTCCTTGTCAATCCTGTTGAGCCTGAATTCCAAGGGGAGGTAGGTTCAGAGAGAATGATGCACATTTCGACGTATTGGGTATCACACAGATTTTTCTTTCAACATCTTATTTTTTGGATTTTTTCGTTGACAGAAAGTTTAATTATACATTTCTTTAAGAATTTGAAGCTTACTTCTATTCTAGCATGCCATTCAATTCTCATAACCTGAATCAATCTCATGGAACAAACCCAATTAAACCTTTTTTTATTATTAATTTATTATGGTAAAAATATGATGAGGTGTGAGTAAATCTGCTTTTTTTTTAATAAAAAACTCGGTCGGACGAGTGGGCTATGCCAATACGAGCCCAAAGCTATACTACTTGGGCTTTTTCCCTCCTCTGTTCGGAGATCATAAACTGGGCGAAATTGTGTGACTAGGTGGACGACAAGTATCAGTACTCGTGCGAGAGTCGCAACAACAGGGTTCATGGCTGGATCTGCATGGATCAATTTGTTGGGTTCTGGCAAATCACCCCTAGCTACGAGTTCCGATCCGCTGGGCCCCTCAAGCAATTCATTACTTCCACGTGGGCCCCACCACACTCTCCGTGAGTCACCCTTTTCGTTTAACCTAATTTAAAAAAACCCCCAATAGTCGATATTTTTCTGACCGGCATTCAATTGTCTGTTTTGGATCTCCTGGATTAGGTGTTTCATAGCACGCATTATTCAGGAGCAGATCTGGTAATGAAATTTGGGCCAGGAGAGCCATGGAAGAAAGTGTATGGGCCCATTTTCATATACCTTAATTCTATGGCTAATGGAGGAAGCCCGATCATGTTATGGAAAGACGCTAAACAGCAGGTTCTCTTGTTCATTATTTTCCATTTTCCTGTCCGCATGGTAAATTCAACGTTCATTGTCACGGAAGAACTCCAATAAATAAAAATAAAATTGCAGATGGTCAATGAAGTTGAAAGCTGGCCCTATGCATTTCCAGCTTCGGAGGACTTTCCCGCATCTGACCAACGAGGCAAGGTTAAAGGCAGATTACTGGTACGAGACAGGTATGTCTCCGAAGTCCAAACACATCATCTGAAATGCTTCTTTAGCTACCAAGTTTTCCTTTTAAAAAAGCGGATCTCTCCATATTCATAATACACTTGTTTCCCTCTGTTTCTTCTAGTTCTTAGTATCGATTAATGCTTTTCGGCAACCAAAAGGAAAGTATTGGACACATGATTTACTGTCTTTGTCCCACTAACTATATTTCTTTACCTCATTCTACATGTATGTATATGTGTAAAATCTTCATCTTAATCAGTGAACTTAAACTTTGAATAGGTTTATCACGGATGGGTGCGTCCCAGCGAGTGGGGCTTATGTGGGATTGGCTGCCGTAGGAGATGCCGGATCTTGGCAGATAGAATGCAAGGTGATATTTCAGTTCCTTTGTTTTTCTGTTCTAAAGCGAAGAACTGAAATCTTGCGCCACACAGAAGGAAACTAATACGAGTTGGTATGTGTTAGCAGGGTTATCAGTTTTGGACCATCACTGATGATAAAGGCTACTTCACAATCACTGACATACGGCCCGGGCAATATAATCTTTACTCCTGGGTCACTGGGTTTATCGGCGATTATCGATATAACAATGTCATTAACATAACCTCAGGTCTGATACATATATTTTCTCTCAGTCATGGTTCATGAGCACTTAAAAGAGTCTGTTTGGGAGAATTGGAAAGTGAACCATGTGTTGCTCTCCCTTTTCCCATAACTGAAATAGTTAAGATTCTCAAATATACCGTGTTGTTATACTAAAGTCTAAGATCATTGAATGGGACAAATATGTAAAGTAGGTTGTGAAGATGATGTGGGAGAACTTGTTTATGAGCCTCCAAGAGATGGCCCTACACTGTGGGAAATAGGAACCCCTGATCGCTCTGCAGCTGAATTCTATATCCCAGATCCAAATCCCAAGTACATTAACAGACTTTATGTCAATCATCCAGATAGGTTAGTTTCCTTACCAATTGAAATAATAGTTATGATTAAACAGAAGGTGTGTATCTTTCCTATTTTACCACAGAATGTTCTCTCTTTCGCTGGGGTTTATGAACTGTTGGTCCGCCATTATCACTTGAATCTTCTTTTGACTTCGGTAAAAGGGAGAAATATGCATCACAGTCCCTAAATTTGGCAGGTATAGGCAATATGGATTGTGGGAGAGGTATGCAGAATTGTATCCAAATGAAGACTTGGTCTACACCATAGGAATCAGTGACTACAAGAAAGATTGGTTCTTTGCTCAAGTTAATAGGTAATTCTCTTCCCCTCCGTCTTCCAACTTTTTAATGAAGAGCTGTAAAATGCAGCTAAAGACACCTCTTACTTGAAGGCAAATTTGGTAATGTCTATATTTTGCTACAGTAAAACTAGTTCATGCGTTCACAGTGAGACAGTGGGGAAGTAATAAATGAGTATAATTATAATATGAGCCCTATATATTATACACAATCAGATTTTTTTTTTGGCATCATTATTTTTTCAAATGCATAAATGTGTGAAATATGAATAGAGGAAATATTTGTTCGTTGGCTTTAATTTTTTACGTGCAGAGCAAATATTGTCCTTTTGGTAGTATACCAACGGAATTGTTGCGCCACTGCGCAGGAAGAAAGATAACAACACATACCAAGAAACCACATGGCGAATTAATTTCAAACTCGATAATGTGAATACGAATGGGACCTACAAATTGCGACTGGCTCTGGCGTCTGTGCACTCTGCTGAGCTGCAAGTATATATCACTTCATACTAAATTTTTCCACAGAGCTCTGCGCATATCTCTTCATGCTTACACATTCACAATTCTTTTTTTTTTTTTGGGTTTAATTGTTCTTGTCAGATTCGGGTAAATAACTCAGAAGCAAACCCACCTTTGTTCTCGAGTGGAGAGATTGGAAAGGAGAACACAATTGCTAGGCATGGAATTCACGGGCTGTACTGGCTGTTCAACGTTGATGTACAAGGCACTCTACTTGTGCAGGGGAACAATACCTTTTTTCTAAAGCAAACAAGAAACACAAGTCCTTTTCAAGGGATTTTGTATGATTATATTCGCTTAGAAGGGCCCTCTTCTATAGCTAGTAATGATCGTATTATGTGATCTTCGTCCGTAATATTCGTTAAATAGTACATCTATTCAAATCGTTTTTTATTATTATAAAAATCAATTTGTTGATCCTGTGCTTGGAAAGCCATGAGAGTTGCAAATGCTGCCTTAATTCTTTTTCCTGACAAACATTAAATTTGTGCTTTTGACCGAAAATCACATGCTAAACAGCCTGCAATTCTCTGTTCCCCCGGAAGCCTACCAAGACTAGTCGGTTTCTAGTTTTAACGGGAAAACACATGCCAAACAGCTTTACCTAACTACATATGAGAACAATTCTCATCACACCAAGAATGTTGAGCAACTCATAATTCCAGTTGTGTGTTTAATTATTGTAAATTATTTAATCCATTTAAGGCTCTTCCATTTAAGCTATTTAAGTTTCAACATTATGCGCCAAACAAATGAATCAAGATTGAATTATAAGTCCATCAACCCTTGGTAGTTCAGCTTATTGTATCCTCTATTTGAAGTTAGGTTCACGCTCAGTCGCCATCCGTTTTTTATCGTCCAGTTATGCCTTTCCTTTATATATTGTTTGGTTCTTCACTCTCGTCCACAAACTAAAGATGAAGTTTTGACTTCTAAGTTTACAAGGGAGAGAATTTAGCTTCATAGGAAGGACAAAAATTCTTAAATATGTAAGGACTAAATTTAGCTTCGCCCATGTGTTGGTTTTCCAGTGAAGATACATACTCTGGTTCATGATACCAAACGCTCTATTTGATCCAGAACAATTTACAGTATAATTTTTTCCAGCAATACCTTGCATTGATTAGTACTTCATATATATAATGAAAGAGGGGTGCTTTAAAAGGAGTTAACTATGTAAATGTAGACATTTATTCGATACAAGGGTAAAATTGGAAAGATATAAAATTATTAAGAAAAATAGTGTTTTAACTAACAATTTTTAAGAACCACAAATTAATTAACATCACTCTATGCTGCGATCCAAAGGGAGTATTTTGGCAAAAGAAAAAGGAAATAAAAATATTATGTTGGATTGGAGAAAAAGGAGCACAGTATTATATATTTTTCCATAAAGACCTGATAAGGATTACCTGAAATTACAAATGCAGTTGTCAAACTTCGATAGTGACCCTTGTGAAATTTAAACGGGGAACACAAGACCAACAGGCAGATTTGATATTGACTTTAATAGATTTTAGATCGCATTTTCTTTCTGTTTCGCTATTCAGTGTTGGCACGCATATATTTAATGCCGTTTGTTTCCCCAGAACATCAAAACGCACTCGGCTACATTAGCGACAGAGTAAAGAAATAACCATGAAACCCCACAATAAAGGACACAATGCTTAGCCTTTGGTTGAAGAAAACCAAACCAAACCAAACAGAAGCTTAATTAAAAAGAGACCTTAAAAACATAACATGTAAAGTCAGGTTAATGAGGGCTCTTGGAGAATAAAAAGAGTTTGTATCGAGCAAAGATCGATTATTCACCATGTCAACGCAAGGAGTTCAGCTGCATATAGGAGACAGTCATGTAGGAAACCATTTGCTTCTTTCAACTTTTTGATATCTCATAGCAAATCAAGCTGTTTTGAGTCGTCGATGTATTATTTGAATTGCAGGTGGTGATGGATAATGGCATAGTGAAAGTGTACTTGTCCAAACCGGGAGGATTTGTCACAAGAATACAATATAATGGCGTTGATAATCTGCTCGAAGTTCTTAACCAAAGAGATAACAGAGGGTACGCACACACAGGACACGTAAAGCTTTAGACCTGTTTTTGTTCTATTTTTAGTTTGTTTCTTTTCATGCATATCAAAATAATGAATTCTTAGATACTGGGACGTCGTTTGGAGCGAAGAAGGAAGTACAGGAACCACCGGGACGTTCGAACGGTATGTAAATTTTGCCTCTTTGATTCCGCATCTTACTATTTCCACACTCCATAAAATCAGAAAGAAAGCAGAAGCTATGATGAAAACAGAAAAAAGTTATATAATTTACTCTTCCGTTCTTTTCCACTCCAAATATAGACGTACGCGTTTCTAACTCTTTCCCTGGTTATGAGCTGGTTTAAATCAAGACATGATGAATATCGGCTATGACTTGCAGCGTCATCGGAACAAGTTTCAGAGTGATGGTGGAAAATGAGGAACTGGTGGAGATCTCATTTACGAGAACGTGGGATCCATCTCTGAAGGGAAAGTTTTCGGCATTAAATATAGACAAGAGGTATTCCTATATACTCCGTTGATTGAACTTATTGCTCGATAATTGTGGATACAGTGATACTCTATGATGATAATTACATTAACGACTCCGATGCACTGCAGGTATATCATGCTTCGCAATTCCCCCGGCTTCTACTCATACGCCATTTTTGAGCACCTAGAAGAGTGGCCCGCTTTCAACATACCCCAGATCAGGATCGTCTTCAAACTGAGAAAAGACAGGTATTTTACTTGTCACGTACGTAACCTTTTGCATCACCCGTGACCTTTTTCCCTAGTACTCAACATGTTAAATGTGTGTGTGTGTGTGTGTGTGTGTGTGTGTAAAGATAAATGAAAGAGTATCTTTACTTTTGTAGGTATCATTACATGGCCGTAGCGGATAATAGGCAAAGATTCATGCCACTTCCAGACGATAGATTACCAGGAAGAGGAAAAGAACTTGCTCCCCCAGAAGCAGTTTTACTTGTGAATCCTATAGAGCCAGAGTTCAAGGGGGAGGTAGTACTTATTCCAATGTGTTTCTCTATTTATTGACCGATTATTAGTAGAAAAGCAATTATGCTTCTGCGCGATTAATAGAATTTGTTAATGAGTGATTAAGGTGGATGACAAGTATCAGTACTCGAGTGAAAACAAAGATCTGAAGGTGCATGGGTGGATAAGCTCCGAAAAAGAAATCGAAGCTCCCATGGGGTTCTGGGTAATCATACCTAGCAATGAATTCCGATCAGGGGGACCCGTTAAACAGAACCTCACCTCTCATGTGGGCCCCATCAGCCTCGCTGTAAGTCAACGTAATAGGGCATTTAATTTGAATTCCTACACGGTTATTACTTTATTATCGAGCTTTCAAGGACCGAAACAAAATGCCTTGCCCTGTTTTTGGTGTGTCAGATGTTCTTAAGTGCTCATTATGCTGGGGAGGATCTAGTTCTAAAACTCAAACCGAATGAGCCTTGGAAGAAAGTATTCGGGCCAATCTTTGTGTATCTGAACACTTTGTCGGATGATCAAGACATACGATGGCTCTGGGAGGATGCCAAAGATCAGGTTTCTTTAGCAGACGAACTTTATTGCACTTTTTAGTTTCTTTCAAGCAGATAGTGATAACAATGAAATCCCGCTAACTGAGACGCCCCAAATCGGCCTTTTAGATGACGAAGCAAGTTCAAAGTTGGCCTTATGATTTTCCAGCTTCAGAGGAATATCAGAAGTCTGACCAACGAGGCAGTGTTTGTGGCACACTGCAAGTCCGAGACAGGTAATATAACATCGAACTCCCACATTATCATTGCCCCACAGGATCTCTAGTCCTTATTTTTTAGGATCAAGGTACACCCAGCACTCCGAATTATTTTTTTAGGTACGTCTAATAATTTTTGATGTATCTATATCCCAAACTGACAGAAACATAATGTTTGACTGTTAACGCGTGACTCAGCTCTAATTTGGCCAAAATAATCTTAGCTAGCTACACACATAAACTGATGACGTGGCTTTTGTTTTTAAAAGAAATTATTAAGCTCTCCAAATTAAATATCTTAGTAGACGGTGACTTCTACAAGGACGATGAAAGACAACGGCAACTCTGGTGAGAACGATGGTGGATGTTGGCTCTTCGTTTTCTCCTTCGTCCTTCAATCTGCGGGTATGTTTGGATTAGCGTTGGGCAAAACTGACTTCTAACCTAACTGACTTTTGTAACTGAAGTTAGAGTAAAAGTGAGTTAGTGTAATGCAATTTATGTTTGGATAGATGCTTTTAAAAAGTCAGTTGAAAAAGTTAAAAGTTGTTTGGATGATTAATAGAAAAGTTAGTTTAGTTGTAAAATGACTGAAAAGGATATGGAGTAGTGTTTGAAATTTTATATTTTTAATATGATAATAATTTAAAGAGACACGTAAAATTATTATGATAAAATATAAATAGTTTATTTGTAAAATTATAAAATAAAAATATTTGTTACAGAGAAAATTTGAAAATATATTGTAGATAATTAATTAAATATACATAATGAACAAACATGAATATAAATTAAAATTTATTTGGTCTCTAATTAAAGTAAATAGAATCACACAACTAATTAGATCGTAAGCTTTGCACAATTTTTCCACAAGTCAGTTAGAAAAGTTGATCCAGATTGTGTTGGATAAGTCAATTAGAAAAGTTACTTTTTTTCATAAGTCAGTTAGAAACGAAGTTCAATCCAAACAATCTTCTGAGCTGCAATAAGCCACAAACCTCAGTTTCATGCTTTTCCGTGTGTTTTGGCATTCCAAACGGCAATCCAAACAAGCCCTACAATGGTATAAAACTGAGGAGTTTCCTTTTAGTGGTGCCACACTGCACAGTGCTACTCCCTAACGTCAACATTTCAAATCCCTCTGATGGCGTCGCTACTCTCCCGCCATCCTTTCTGCCACTGCCAACCACCAGCACTCTCTCCGATGAACCTGATCTCCCCAAGTAGTACTGATGATCAACAAGATGATTGCGTGCTTGGATATTATTCTCCAACACGAAGCCGTAACTGTGAACTTTTCTATTTAGGTTACTCGTTCTCCATTGCAGTCGGTATCAAATTTCTACCAAAGATGTCAAGGAGTGGAGTCAAGGCACCTCCTTGGAGTCCTAGTTGGCAAAGATGCCAATTCCCGATCCAAAGTAGGCCTACCGCATCGTTCACCAGATTTATGGTTCGTCCCACTACAACTACCTATGTGTCAACCATGTAGGATATTTGGGGTCAATTTTGAGCTGAGTCATGGAATTAACAGTCAAACATAACATTTCTGTCAACCTGAGATATGAGTACATCATATTAATTAGTTTAGAACACTAGAGACACGAAAAATTACTTTAGGATACTGGACGCAGAGAAAATAGTTTAGGATACTGGTCGCACCTTAATCCTATTTTTTATAATAAGTTAAAAGGGTTGATATGAAGCTGTGAAAAGTAACCATGTTCAGGTGTCGGAGTGACGATTATATAATGGCACAAGGTGCATATGTAGGACTAGCCCCACCTGGGGATGCCGAATCATGGCAGAGAGAATGCAAGGTGACCAAAGATCGTTCCCATTGGTTCATGAAATGAAATACTTTGATTACATATACAACTGTAGTGATCAAGCTGCAATGTTTGAGATCAGGGATACCAATTCTGGACAAGAACAGACGAGGAAGGCTGCTTCTCCATTAACAACATACGAAGTGGGGATTATAATCTCTATGCATGGGTTCCTGGTTTCATCGGAGAATACTGGAACAATGTTGTCCTCACCATCACCCCAGGTTCTTTCATTTAATTCTTCATGGGCATGAGTCATTTATACAGGTGTATGATGTGGTCTGTTAATGTTGTATGAGCACTATGCAGGTTGTGAAATCAATGTTGGTGACATTGTCTATGAGCCCCCAAGAGATGGTCCCACCCTATGGGAGATAGGCATTCCTAATCGCTCTGCTGCTGAATTCTGTGTTCCTGATCCTGATCCGATGTACATAAACAAGCTATATGTCAACCATCCAGATAAGTCAGTCCCTGTCTGAGTCTTTGCGGACACTGCTTATTTGCGTATAGATAAGAAAATTCAGTTATTATAGTTAGCTTACGTTGGCGTTATTACAGAAGGCGATGTACACTCTGATGCTGCACTCTGCACGTAAACTCAATCTCAAAAGTTTCAAAATTCATTGGGCTTTTTGTTGACAACATTTGCAGGTTTAGGCAGTATGGCTTGTGGGAAAGGTACACAGAACTATATCCAAAGGAAGATTTGGTTTATACAGTCGGTTTTAGTGAGTATAGAAACGATTGGTTCTTTGCACAAGTCACCAGGTCTAGTTCCTTATGACTGCTTATAGTTCCTTTCTTTTGGGAACCTAGATAGCTCAAAAAAAAAAAAACATATACCTCTGTTTTTATATTTTTACGGAAAAGTTGGTACTGATGAATGAAATACAGGAAGGAAGATGATGGAACTTACCAAGGCACTACTTGGCAAATTAAGTTCAAGCTTGATAACGTGGTAGGAGGTGGGACGTATAGGTTAAGACTGGCACTCGCAACTGCAAATGCAGCCGAATTACAGGTTCATAATCTTACCAAAAAAAGATTTTCGCTTGTTCCTGAAATATACCATGAATTGGATGAGTGATTTCAGCTTCTGTTAATCTAACTTATAGGTTAGAGTTAATGATCCGAAGCAAAACCCTCCTCTATTCACGACTGGTTTGATTGGAAAGGACAACACAATTGCTAGGCATGGAGTCCATGGACTCTACAGGCTATACAGCATTGGCGTGTCGGGTCGTTTTCTGATCAAAGGCGATAATACTTTATATCTCACGCAGGCTGCTGCTACTGGTCCTTTCGAAGGGATCATGTATGACTATATACGCTTTGAAAGCCCACAAGCCACAAGTTCCCCTTCATAGGAGAAAATTAAAATGACAATGAAGACGTGTTTGTTTAAACAGTGTGACCATGTTCGACTAGACAACCTCAGTGATGGAGATTACGAATTCTTTACAATGTTCCATTTTCTTGCTGCAATTATTTGGCTTTTGTTTGTCCCTTTTTGTTTCTCAGCTTCCACTGACCCAGACAGTCTAATTCTACCGAGATCAAATATCTTATATTTCTCCGATGATCAAATATCTTATACTACCTCCAGTCCTTAATATAAAATCCTGTTTGATTTTTATTTTGGTCCTAAATATAAGATCCCAATCCACTTTGTCTCTCATATTTATATATTTTTTTCCAAAGTAACCCTTCTAACAATGATAGTTCTAGTCAATACACTTAATTAACAAGGATATTTTAGGAAAGACAATACTTATTTAGGATAAATAACTAACTTAACTTATTTTCTTAATCTCTTCAAATTAGTTAATTGACTCTTATAATTAGGACCGGAGGTAGTATTTCTCCAATGATCAAATATCCAAATATTTCTCTGATGTCCTTTTTCCCCTTGCTCGCGTGTTGCACCGTTTCATAAGAGTGACGAGATCCATTTTTTCTGTTTTTCAATCAGAATAATTTCATAATTTTTTTTAGTAAGCATATTTTTTCCTAACCATTAATAGGGTCAAATCTAGAATTGGTAATACGGGCCAACCCGGGCTTAGGTTGGCAAAATGCCATCCCATCAAGGTGCGGGTTACTTTAACTCGTGAGTTGGCGGGCTAGCCTGCTTTTTTTTTTTTTTTTAAGTTTTCATATAATTCTTAATATATTATACAATGTAATTAAAATATTTTGATCCTCAGATTCTACATGAGCAATTAAACATTGTCTTATTCATATCATTATATATATAATTAAACACTTTATATGTTTGTGACTATGTGTAGTTATATAAAGAACATCGTTCATTTTTTATTTTTCATTTATTTGTCCCGTTACTATGCAAGCCTTTATAAGATTAAATAAACATGTGATACTTATATATATATATACATAAAATATCTACTTAATTAATTTGGATAAGAAAACTAGTTAAATTAATTATTTATAAAAAATATGTGTTATTTTTTTAAAAATATCTTCTTAAATTATAAATTAATTTTCACATTATTTTATTATAACCCCCTACTCAAATTCAAGATTTCAAATTAAACTCTACCTATATAATAATAGTTTTTATTAAAAAAAATATTAAGGCGGGTTGGTATTTACTAAGGTGTGGATTATTTCAACCCGCACAGTTTTAAGCCTGCACTGTCACGGGTTGGCTTGTATCTATACTACCAGCCGCTTTCCCACTTCTAGTCAAATCCACGTCCACAAAATTAACACCATCTAACCCTATCATAGTCTTTGTAAGTATTTTCGAAAAAAAAAAGGGCAACTAAAAGGATTCGCAACTAAAAACAAAATTAAAGCAGGGGACTTTTCCGGATTTTTTTTCCCGCTAACGACGGATAGAAAGGACGGAGGTTTTACTGTACGAAAAATTACAATGATTTGAGAGTGTTTGAGTTATCGTAAAATTATTTTTAAAACTATAATTTAGTTTTCATTTAAAAACCTCCTAACTGGGTTTTGGTCGCTTCCGCAGCGTGTGCAGCCGCTACCTTCATCTTCTCAGTCTCGAGCTCCGCTGCGGATGCTTCTTCCTCATTTCTCGCCTTTATCATCTTTGTCTGCTTTGGTTAACACAAAGACGGCATGTAATAATGGTAAAAGAGAGAGAGGCAAAGAAATTACATCCGAATGAGAGGAGAAAAGAAGTTTTAAGACCTGACCGATGAAGAAGGCTTTTACATATGTGAGGCCTTCCTGCAAAGAAGCTACGAATAGTAAGCAGTTTTTCTTCTGGCGAGATCCGAACGAAGTCGTCTTGTGCTTTCGCTCTGAGTTCATCGTCGACGCTGGGGATGAAGAACCGATCTCTTTTATGGATTAGAGGCACCCAGAAGAATCATGAGCGAGCAAGCAACTTCGGAAAAGGATGCACCAGACACGTCCGTGTTATTTCATCACGTGGCTGTTGTTTGCTTTATCCCCGTCCTTATTTGTTTTGGTTTTCGTAAATTTTTTTAATAATAATAGAATAATTTATAACTCATATGTACTGTACTGCTTGTTTTTTTCATTTATCATCCCACCTGTATAAGGGCTCTGTTAACATCCTCACACGCACTACTTTATTCTTGATATAAAAATTTATTTAATTTTTATTTAATTGTAAATATAAAATTTTAATCTATTTTATTTTTTATGTTTATTTATTTTTTACTTAGATGGTCCTTTTAATAATAGTAATTATAGCCAATACACTTAATTAGTAAAGATATTTTAAAAAACATAACAATTATTTATTACAAATAACTAATCCAACTAACTTTCTTAATCTATGCAAATAAGTCAACTAGCTTTTATATTAAGGACCAGAGTTAGTATAAAATTCTCATGTACTCTCTTCTATCCTCAATATAAGATTCAGTTGATTTAATTTGGAGAGCATAAAAAGTTATTTAAATTAGTTATTTGTAGTAAATAAATCTTATCTTTCTTAAAATACCCTTATTAATCATATGTATTGGAATTACTTATTGATGTAACTCCTTAATATATGCAATTACTACAAAAATTATTTTAATACGAAATAGATAAATATTGGAGATAACATAAATTGAAGTCTTATATTTATGACCAAAATGAATGTCAAACTAACTCTTATACTACCTTTGGTCTTTAATATAAGAACTCATTTGACTTTTATTTTAGTCCTAAATATAAGATCTCAATCTACTTTGTATGTCATATTTATCTTTTTTTCTCTCAAGATAATCCTTATAATAAAGGTAATTTTAGCCAATATACTTGATTAGAAAAAATATTTTACTCAAATTAGTTAATTGGTTCTTGTATTAATGATAAAAGGGAGATAGTATAAGATTTGAGTAAGTTTTTATTTCACTTAAAAATATCTCTATTATGCAGCTTTTCTAAAACGCAAACAATATAATTATGCAGTGAGATCCATCGTTAAGGCGATTTTTGTAAAGCTCTTTCTTTCAGTGATAGGGATCTTTTGGTTTTTAAGTTTATGGCAATGGTTTGTAACTATGAATCTCTCTTGACATTTTTTTTTTTCCTGAAAATTCTGACGTCTATGGGGTGTCACGTGATGCGGATGAGAGAAAAGGAACAACAAAAATGAAAATCCTATGCGAGGAGATAAACGTCATTGCATCTCAATCTCCACCATCGCACTAGATAAACGTCATTTTCACATACCTTAATTCTATGGCCAATGGACTTAATTGTCAAAATCCCTCTTACAACCCTTCCGCGTGATGACAAGATGATTTGGGCTCCTGCAAAGGATGGGATCTATAGCGTCAAAGCAGGGTATAGAGTAAAAGTTGCTACTTCTGAAAGCAAAAAAGGAATAGCTCGAGCATCAACATCTGGGAAAGTGGACACTAGAATCTGGTCCACAGTCTGGAAACTGAAAGTTATGCCCAAAATACAGAACTTTATCTGGAGAATTTTAAACAATGCACTGGCCTCAAAAGAAGCTTTATTCAAGAGAAATTGTGCTCCAAATCCCGTTTGCCCTGTGTGCGGTGATGAAACTGAATCCCTTGAACACTTATTTCTGCTATGTGATTGGGTCAAGGCTGCTTGGTTTGGCTGGCCCTATGGGAATCCACGTCTCTCCTAGAAATATCAAAAGCATGGGACTCTGGCTGGAAGAGATACTAATGATTAGAGATCCTGACTTTGATTACAGTAAGGCGTACGTGGCCTCTATGCTATGGGTTATATGGAAGCTGAGATGCCGTATGGTCTTTGAACAAAACGTTCCGAACCCTTCAGAAGCCATAGAAAAGACGAATAGAACCATAGAGGAGTTCTGGGAAGCAAAATCTCTGCTTCCAAAGGCACCCAACTTGGTGGATACCGAAACAATCTACAAGTGGAGGAAACCGCAAAGTAATACTATCAAGATAAATTGTGATGGGGCCTTCTGTGAGAAAAATGGGAAAGCAGGTATAGGAATTGTTTGCAGAAACTCTGAGGGCCTGCTGATCAAGGGCTGGGCAGAAAAAGTGAGGGCTTACTCTGCCTTCCACGCTGAGATGCTGGCAATAGGTAAGGCAGCCAAATTAGTTGCTGAGTGGAAATGGCAATCTGTAATTATTGAAACGGACTGTCATGATCTCTATAAAGCTGTGAGCCTGTACTCCTTTCGTCACTGCCCATGGAGTCTTCATGGACTGCTGAATGAAATCACTGATCTTGTGCAAGAACGAAGTTTTGTCTCCTTCTCTCTCATTCCCCGAGAGGGCAATTCTGCAGCTGATTGTTTGGCTGCTTTGGCTTCAAGGGAGGTGGGACCTAACGGTCTGATCACTGAATCTCCACCTCCTCTAGCTACTATCATCCTTCGTGAAGCACAGGCCTTTGATGGTGTGTATCGTGACCGGCGGAGCTTGGAGGCCGAAAGGGAGGGAATTGGCTAATGTTATTTATGTCTTTATTAGCTCCCTGTGTTTGTTGTCGGTTATTGCTTTCTTTATTCCGTGTTGAACTCCCTGTTTTTATATTTCTATGAATGCCTCTTTGCTGGTCAAAAAAAAAAAATGGAGAAAGCCCGACCATGTTGTGGAAAGACGCGAAACAGCAGGTTCTCTTGTTCATTATTTTCCATTTTCCTGTCCGCATGTTAAATGCAACGTTCTTTGTCACGGAAGAACTCCAATAGATAAAAATAAAATTGCAGACAATGAAGTTGAAAGCTGGCCCTATGCATTTCCAGCTTCAGAACACTTTCCCTCATCTGACCAACGAGGCAAGGTTAAAGGCAGATTACTGGCATATGATCTCTTCACAGTCATAATACAGTTGTTTCTCTCTGTTCCTCGTAGTTCTTAGTATCGATGAATGCTTTTCAGCAACCAAAAGAAAAAAGTATTGGCACATGATTTACTGTCTTTGTCCCACTAACTATATTTCTTTACCTCATTCTACATGTATGTATATGTGTAAAATCTTCATCTTAATCAGTGAACTTAAACTTTGAATAGGTTTATCACGGATGGGTGCGTCCCAGCGAGTGGGGCTTATGTGGGATTGGCTGCCGTAGGAGATGCCGGATCTTGGCAGATAGAATGCAAGGTGATATTTCAGTTCCTTTGTTTTTCTGTTCTAAAGCGAAGAACTGAAATCTTGCGCCACACAGAAGGAAACTAATACGAGTTGGTATGTGTTAGCAGGGTTATCAGTTTTGGACCATCACTGATGATAAAGGCTACTTCACAATCACTGACATACGGCCCGGGCAATATAATCTTTACTCCTGGGTCACTGGGTTTATCGGCGATTATCGATATAACAATGTCATTAACATAACCTCAGGTCTGATACATATATTTTCTCTCAGTCATGGTTCATGAGCACTTAAAAGAGTCTGTTTGGGAGAATTGGAAAGTGAACCATGTGTTGCTCTCCCTTTTCCCATAACTGAAATAGTTAAGATTCTCAAATATACCGTGTTGTTATACTAAAGTCTAAGATCATTGAATGGGACAAATATGTAAAGTAGGTTGTGAAGATGATGTGGGAGAACTTGTTTATGAGCCTCCAAGAGATGGCCCTACACTGTGGGAAATAGGAACCCCTGATCGCTCTGCAGCTGAATTCTATATCCCAGATCCAAATCCCAAGTACATTAACAGACTTTATGTCAATCATCCAGATAGGTTAGTTTCCTTACCAATTGAAATAATAGTTATGATTAAACAGAAGGTGTGTATCTTTCCTATTTTACCACAGAATGTTCTCTCTTTCGCTGGGGTTTATGAACTGTTGGTCCGCCATTATCACTTGAATCTTCTTTTGACTTCGGTAAAAGGGAGAAATATGCATCACAGTCCCTAAATTTGGCAGGTAGAGGCAATATGGATTGTGGGAGAGGTATGCAGAATTGTATCCAAATGAAGACTTGGTCTACACCGTAGGAGTCAGTGACTACAAGAAAGATTGGTTCTTTGCTCAAGTTAATAGGTAATTCTCTTCCACTCCGTCTTCCAACTTTTTAATGAAGAGCTGTGAAATGCAGCTAAAGACACATTTTACTTGAAGGCAAATTTGGTAATGTCTATATTTTACTACAGTAAAACTAGTTCATGCGTTCACAGTGAGACAGAGGGGAAGTAATAAATGAGTATAATTATAATATGAGCCCTATACATTATACATAATCAGATTTTTTTTTTTGGCATCGTTATTTTTTCAAATGCATAAATGTGTGAAATATGAATAGAGGAAATATTGTCCTTTTGGTAGTGTATCAAAAAAATTGTTGCCACTGCGCAGGAAGAAAGATAACAACACATGCCAAGAAACCACATGGCGAATTAATTTCAAACTCGATAATGTGAATACGAATGGGACCTACAAATTGCTGGCTCTGGCGTCTGTGCACTCTGCTGAGCTGCAAGTATATATCACTTCATACTAAATTTTTCCACAGAGCTCTGTGCATATCTCTTCATGCTTACAAATTCACAATTCTTTTTTTTTTTTTTTCGGGTTTAATTGTTCTTGTCAGATTCGGGTAAATAACTCAGAAGCAAACCCACCTTTGTTCTGGAGTGGAGAGATTGGAAAGGAGAACACGATAGCTAGGCATGGAATTCACGGGCTGTACTGGCTGTTCAACGTTGATGTACAAGGCACTCTACTTGTGCAGGGGAACAATAGCTTTTTTCTAAAGCAAACAAGAAACACAAGTCCTTTTCAAGGGATTTTGTATGATTATGTTCGCTTAGAAGGGCCCTCTTCTATAACTAGTAATGATCGTAATATATGATCTTCGTCCGTAATATTCGTTAGTTTTTTATTATTATAAAAATCAATTTGTTGATCCTGTGCTTGGAAAGCCGTGAGAGCTGCAAGTGCTGCCTTAATTCTTTTTCCTGACAAACGTTAAATTTGTGGTTTTCACCGAAAATCACATGCCAAACAGCCTGCAATTCTCTGCCTTCACTTTTTTCCCCCTGAAGCCTGCCGAGACTAGTCGGTTTCTAGTTTTAACGGGAAATCACATGCCAAACAGCTTTACCTAAGTACATGTGAGAACAATTCTCATCACACCAAGAATCTTGAGGAACTCATAACTTCGAGTTTTGTGTGTTTAATTATTGTAAATTATTTAATCCATTTAAGCTATTTAAGTTTCAACATTATGTGCCAAACAAGTGAATCAGGATTGAATTATAAGTCCATCAACCCTTGGTAGTTCAGCTTATTGTATCCTCTATTTAAAGTTAAGTCCAGGCTCAGTCGCCATCCGTTTTCTATCGTCCAGCTATTCTTTTCCTTTATATATTGTTTGGATCTTCACTCTCGTCCACAAACTGAAGATAAGTTTTGACTTCTAAGTTTACAAGGGAGAGAACTTAACTTCGTCGGAAGGATAAAAAGAGTTTGTATCGAGCAAAGATCGATTATTCACCATGTCAACGCAAGGAGTTCAGCTGCATATAGGAGACAGTCATGTAAGAAACCATTTGCTTCTTTCAACTTTTTGATATCTCATAGCAAATCAAGCTGTTTTGAGTCGTCGATGTATTATTTGAATTGCAGGTGGTGATGGATAATGGCATAGTGAAAGTATACTTATCCAAACCGGGAGGATTTGTCACAAGAATACAATATAATGGCGTTGATAATCTGCTTGAAGTTCTTGACCAAAGAGATAACAGAGGGTATATTTACACACACACACACAGGACACGTACAGCTTTAGACCTGTTTTTGTTCTATTTTTAGTTTGTTTCTTTTCATTCAACTCAAAATAATGAATTTTTAGATACTGGGACGTCGTTTGGAGTGAAGAAGGCAGCACAGGAACCACCGGTACATTCGAGCGGTATGTAAATTTTGCATCTTACTATTTCCGCACCCCATAAAATCAGAAAGAAAGCAGAAGCTATGATGAAAACAGAAAAAAGTTATATAATTTACTCTTCCATTCTTTTCCACTCCAAATATAGATGCATGCGTTTCTAACTCTTTCCCTGGTTATGAGCTGGTTTAAATCAAGACATGATGAATATCGGCTATGACTTGCAGCGTCATCGGAACAAGTTTCAGAGTGATAGTGGAAAATGAGGAACTGGTGGAGATCTCATTTGCAAGAACGTGGGATCCATCTCTGAAGGGAAAGCTTTCGGCATTAAATATAGACAAGAGGTATTCCTATAAATTCCGTTGATTGAACTTATTGCTCATAATTGTGGATACAGGAATACTCTATGATGATAATTACATTAACGACTCCGATGCACTGCAGGTATATCATGCTTCGTAATTCCCCAGGCTTCTACTCATACGCCATTTTTGAGCACCTAGAAGAGTGGCCCGCTTTCAACATACCCCAGATAAGGATCGTCTTCCAACTGAGAAAAGACAGGTATTTTACTTGTCACGTGCGTAACCTTTTGCATCACCCGTGACCTTTTTCCCTAGTACTCAACATGTTATATGTGTATGTGTGTGTAAAGATAAATGAAAGAGTATCTTTACTTTTGTAGGTATCATTACATGGCCGTAGCGGATAATAGGCAAAGATTCATGCCACTTCCAGACGATAGATTACCAGGAAGAGGAAAAGAACTTGCTCCCCCAGAAGCAGTTTTACTTGTGAATCCTATAGAGCCAGAGTTCAAGGGGGAGGTAGTGCTTATTCCAATGTGTTCCTCTATTTATTGACCGATTATTAGCAGAAAAGCAATTATGCTTCTGCGCGATTAATAGAATTTGTTAATGAGTGATTAAGGTGGATGACAAGTATCAGTACTCGAGTGAAAACAAAGATCTGAAGGTGCATGGGTGGATAAGCTCCGAAAAAGAAATCGAAGCTCCCATGGGGTTCTGGGTAATCATACCTAGCAATGAATTCCGATCAGGGGGACCCGTTAAGCAGAACCTCACCTCTCATGTGGGCCCCTTTAGCCTCGCTGTAAGTCAACGTAATAGAGCATTTAATTTTAGTTCCTGCACGGTTATTACTTTATTATCGAGCTTTCAAGGACCGAAACAAAATGCCTTGCCCTGTTTTTGGTGTGTCAGATGTTCTTAAGTGCTCATTATGCTGGGGAGGATCTAGTTCTAAAACTCAAACCGAATGAGCCTTGGAAGAAAGTATTCGGGCCAATCTTTGTGTATCTGAACACTTTGTCGGATGATAAAGACATACGATGGCTCTGGGAGGATGCCAAAGATCAGGTTTCTTTAGCAGACAAAATTTATTTGGTCTAAACAGAAAAAAAGCAGACCAACTTTATTGCACTTTTTAGTTTCTTTCAAGCAGAAAATTATAACAATGAAATCCCGCTAACTGAGGCTCCCCAAATCGGCCTTTTAGATGACGAAGCAAGTTCAAAGTTGGCCGTATGATTTTCCAGATTCAGAGGATTATCAGAAGTCTGACCAACGAGGCAGTGTTTGCGGCACACTACGAGTCCGAGACAGGTAATATAACATCGAACTCCCACATTATCATTGCCCCACAGGATCTCAAGTTCTTATTTTTTATAATTAGTTAAAAGGGTTGATATGAAGCTGTGAAAAGCAACGATTTTCAGGTGCCGGAGTGACGATTATATAATGGCACAAGGTGCATATGTAGGACTAGCCCCACCTGGAGACGCCGGGTCATGGCAGAGAGAATGCAAGGTGACCAAAGATCGTTCCCATTGGTTCATGAAATGAAATACTTTGATTACATATACAACTGTAGTGATCATGCTGCGATATTTGCCATCAGGGATACCAATTCTGGACAAGAACAAACGAGGAAGGCTGCTTCTCCATTAACAACATACGAAGTGGGGATTATAATCTCTATGCATGGGTTCCTGGTTTCATCGGAGAATACTGGAACAATGTTGTCCTCACCATCACCCCAGGTTCTTTCATTTAATTCTTCATGGGCATGAGTCATTTATACAGGTGTATGATGTGGTCTGTTAATGTTGTATGAGCACTATGCAGGTTGTGAAATCAATGTTGGTGACATTGTCTATGAGCCCCCAAGAGAGGGTCCCACCGTATGGGAGATAGGCATTCCTGATCGCTCTGCTGCTGAATTCTGTGTTCCTGATCCTGATCCGATGTACATTAACAAGCTATATGTCAACCATCCAGATAAGTCAGTCCCTCTTTGCGGACGCTACTTATTTGCGTATAGATGAGAAAATTCAGTTACTTTAGTTGGCTTACGTTGGCGTTGTTACAGAAGGCGATGTACACTCTGATGTTGCACTCTGCACGTAAACTCAATCTCAAAAGTTTCAAAATTCACTGGGCTTGTTGTTAACAACATTTGCAGGTTTAGGCAGTATGGCTTGTGGGAAAAGTACACAGAACTATATCCAAAGGAAGATTTGGTTTATACAGTCGGTGTTAGTGACTATAGAAACGATTGGTTCTTTGCACAAGTCACCAGGTCTAGTTCCTTATGACTGCTTACAGTTGCTTTCTTTTGGGAACCTAGATAGCTCAAAAAAATATTTTTACAGAAAAGTTGGCACTGATGAATGAAATACAGGAAAAAAGATGATGGAACTTACCAAGGTACTACTTGGCAAATTAAGTTCAAGCTTGATAACGTGGTAGGAGGTGGGACGTATAGGTTAAGACTGGCACTCGCAACTGCAAATGCAGCCGAATTACAGGTTCATAATCTTACCAAAAAAAGATTTTCGCTTGTTCCTGAAATATACCATGAATTGGATGAGTGATTTCAGCTTCTGTTAATCTAACTTATAGGTTAGAGTTAATGATCCGAAGCAAAACCCTCCTCTCTTCACGACTGGTTTGATTGGAAAGGACAACACAATTGCTAGGCATGGAGTCCATGGACTCTACAGGCTATACAGCATTGGCGTGTCGGGTCGTTTTCTGATCAAAGGCGATAATACTTTATATCTCACGCAGGCTGCTGCTACTGGTCCTTTTGAAGGGATCATGTATGACTATATACGCTTTGAAAGCCCACAAGCCACTAGTTCCCCTTCATAAGAGAGAATTAAAATGACAATGAAGACGTGTTTGTATGAACAGTGTGACCAAGTTCAACTAAAGAACTTCGGTAATGGAGATTACGAATTCTTTACAGTGTTCCATTTTGTTGCTGCAATTATTTGGCTTTTGTTTGTCCCTTTTTGTTTCCACCCTTCCACTAACCTAGACAGTCTAATTCTACTAAGATCAAATTTCTTATATTTCTGTGATGATCAAATATCCAGATATTTCTCCGATGTCCTTTTTCCCCTCACTCGCGTGTTGCACCGTTTTATAAGAGTGATGAGATCCATTTTTTCTGTTTTTCAATCAGAATAATTTTATAATTTTTTTTAGTAACCATATTTTTTCCTAGCCATTAATAGGGTCAAATCCGAGTCCACAAAATTAACACCATCTAAGCACATCATATTCTTTGTAAGCATTTTAGAAAATAAAAGGGGCAACTAAAAAGATTCGCAACTAAAAACAGAATTAAATCAGGGGAACTTTCCGCATTTTTTTTCCGCTAACGACGAATAGAAAGGACGGAGGCTTTATTGTACGAAAAATTACAATGATTTATTGAGCTTGGTTTTGGTCGCTTCCGCAGCGTCAGCCGCCGCAACCTGCATCTTCTCAGTCTCAAGCTCCGCTACGGATGCTTCCTCCTCATTTCTCGCCTTTATCATCTTTGTCTGCTTTTGTTAACACAAAGACGGCATGTAATAATGGTAAGAGAGAGAGAGAGTCAGAGAGGCAAAGAAATTACATCCGAATGAGAGGAAAAGAAGTTTTAAGACCTGACCGATGAAGAAGGCTTTTACATATGTAAGGCCTTCCTGCAAAGAAGCTACGACAAGTAAGCAGTTTTTCTTCAGGCGAGACCCGAACGAAGTCGTCTTGTGCTTTCGCTCTGAGTTCATCGTCGACGCTGGGGATGAAGAACCGATCTCTTTCATGGTTTACTGTTTTCGGAGCTCTAGAAATTAGAGGCACCCAGAAGAATCATAAGCAAGCAACTTCGGAAAAGGATGCGCCAGACACGTCTGTGTTATTTCATCACGTGGCAGTTGTTTGCTTTATCCACGTCGTTATTTTTTTGGTTTTCGTAATTTTTTTAATAATAATAGAAATTAACATGAAAATCTAATTATAAAATATAAATCTCTGTTCGCTTAAATAATTTATAAATCGTATATACTGTATTGCTTGTTTTTTAATTTATCATCCCACGCGTGGAAGGGCTCTGTTAACAGCTACACACATATATTATCTCATATATTTCATATAAATATTTGTTTGATTTTTATTTTAATTGTAAATATAAAATTTTAATTTACTCTACCTCTTATGTTTATCTACTTTTTATCAAGATGGTCCTTGTAATAATAGTAGTTATAACCAATACACTTAATTAGTAAGATATTTTAGGAAACACAATATTTATTTATTACAAATAACTAACTTAACTAACTTTCTTAATATATTCAAATTAGTCAACTAGTTTTTATATTAAGGACCAGAATTAATATAAAATTCTCATGTACTCCCTTCTATCCTCTATATAAGATTAAGTTGATTTAATTTGGAGAGCTTAAAAAAGTTATTTAAATTAGTTACTTGTAGTAAATAAATCTTATCTTTCTTAAAATACCCTTATTAATCATATGTGTCAGAGTTACAAGGAATTACTTGATAGTAACTCTTTAATATATGCAATTACTATAAAAATTATTTTAATGAGAAATAGATAAATATTGGAGACAACGTGAACTAAGATCTTATATTTATGACTAAAATGAATGTCACCCTAACTCTTATACTATGTTTAATATTTAATATAAGAATATGTTTGATTTTTATTTTAATCCTAAATATAAGATTTTAATCTATTTTGTATATCATATCTATCTTTTTTTAAGATAATTTTTGTAATAATAGTAATTTTAGGCAATATGTTTTGTTAGTAAAGATATTCTAGAAAAAACAATATCTATTTATTACAAATAACTAATTTTCTTAATTTACTCAAATTAATCAACTGGTTATTATATTAAGAATAGGGGGAGATGGTATAAGATTTGAGCAGGTTTTTGTTTCACTTAAGAACATCTCTATTATGCAGCTTTTTCTAAATCGCAAACAATATAATTATGCAGTGAGATCCATCATTAAGGTGATATTTGCACAGTTCTTTCTTTCAGTGATAAGGATCCTTTTGGTTTAAGTTTATGGCAATGGTTTGTGACTATTAACCTCTTGACACTTTTTTTTGTTTTAAAAATTCTGACGTCTATGGGTTGTCACGTGATGCGGATGAGAGAAAAGGAAAAACAAAAATGCAAATCCTATGCGAGGAGATAAACGTCATTGCATCTCAATCTCCACCCTCGCACGATATATACCTCAGCTCCAAATTCTAGGGTATAAATAGCCCCAAATTTGTTTGCTGACTTCGCTACAAGTTCCAAACGTTATCGAGCCAAACGTTAACGAGAAAAGCAGCAGCAGGAAGAGAGGAAAGAGGTGCTCGCAACGTCGCCACCCGATTCGTAATATGAATTACCATTCCAGATCTTCATTATTTTCATTTTCTTGTTGATCCTTTTGCTTATCCTTGCTTCACTGCAATTTAATCAATTTTTGTACGCGGGCCTTTTGGTATGTTGTTTATAGAATCTTCTTCGGTGTCTAATATTGACGTAGATCGCATTCAGCAAGCAGGAATGGCGACGTTCGAACTGTACCGGAGGTCGACGATCGGAATGTGCCTTACTGAGACTTTGGATGAGATGGTTCAGAGTGGTACTCTTAGCCCTGAGATTGCTATTCAGGTCCTTGTCCAGTTCGACAAGGTACTTTGAGAAGGAGTCCAGTTTAATTGCCTTTCTTCATATTCATGCACAATGTGAAATTTTAATTTTGAGTTTGTTTTGACATTTGTTCTTATGTCATGTGGATTGCTAGTCTATGACAGAAGCTCTGGAAACTAATGTTAAGAGCAAAGTCTCTGTTAAGGTAACAATGTTATCGCTCAATTTTGCTTTTGATGCCTTTAGTTCCATGTTAGAAGTCACACTTTGAGCTAGAGCAGATAATGGGGCAAAGTAGTCCTAACTCCTCACTTGTTCCAAGGAATTTGCTGCTGGCATGTTACGTGCCTCATAAGTTTGTGAACTTGTTCATAACGTCTTCTGGAATTTACGTGCAGATTATTAGTGGAGTTGAGGGAGTTACCCTTACTACTAATCGTTTCATCTTTTATTTAGAAATTCTTGGTTCAATGGTGTCAATCGATAACTTCCTCTAAGTGTTCCCCCAACCCCCCGGGGGTGTTTGAGCTAAGTATTTTGAACTAGAGAGAATGTTGGAACGACCATAAAAGCCTGTGAACATTAGCAGAGTTTCATTTCATGTAGAGTTGTTAAGAATTGAATACATATAAATCATGGTAATCAACAGCATTAGTCCCAATTAAAATAGGAAGTACTTTGATAGAGTTGAATTGCATTGACATCATTCGATGGCAATTTCTATTCAAATAGTTTAGTTTTAATCATTTGAGTCCAATTTTCACGATGTTAATGATAGAATTGTCGGCGCTTGATTGTAGAATTCTGTCTAAGTTGATTGCTGGGGGTTGGAGATTGCCTCTCACTCTTTGGGGATGGACTTTATTTTTGGTTTCCATGTCAACCTTCCTTTGCATATGTGTTTTTGCTTTCTTGTGTGTAGCCTTGTATGGTCTTAACTTTAAGTTGGTATTAGGAAGACATTTATGTAGGCAACCATTTTTTGAACTCAATTGACAGACTTTACGGTTTTTCTAGTTGGCATTTAAATTTGAGTATATTGATATTTATTCAACTATAATTTACTCATTTAAAGGCTTGCATTTTTGTTTCAACACAAGTTTTGCCACTTTTGTTTGTAGTTAAATATATAATCTCCTTCTTGTAGACATCTGAAGATAAGCTTTGGAGCCACAGGATACATCTCTTTATTATGATATTATGATTTGCTTATTGAGGGCCCTCCTCTTAAATACCCCCCCCCCCCCCAAGTATAGTCAAGATAACCAAATAATTTACAATGGCCCATTTGCCTCTAGTTTATTCAAGTTCCTCCTCTATTGTTCCTTTTCTAACCTTTTTCTTTTTAAATAACAATAAATGGAAGATTTCTATGCCGTTGCTTCACATGCCAGGCTGCTAGCTATATAACAGCTCTGAAAGAGGTTAATCATATCAAGTGGAATCTTCTTATTCCTGATATAAAAGTAGCTGGACTGGTAATGGATAAGGTCTATCATGGGCGTATCCTTTTAACCTTGGAGCTGTTTCCTCTTATAAGTTTTAAAGTTTTTGGCGGGCACTAGAAGGCTAAGACTTTGGGTGTGTGATTTATGAAACCATCCAATATACGACACTTTTGATTAATTCCTATTTGGGCCAAGTTGGACCCCGATTGAGGGGGAGGGGGAGTTCTCTCAATGTGGTTTCTCCCCCTATCCGCAAGGCTCAAACTTGAGACCTTACTTAAGGAGTGTTGAGTCTCTTACCATTCAACCTAACTTTCATTGGTAATTTATGCAATTCTCTGGTGGATATGACATATGAATGGGGATGTCTATATTTTTCTTTGCACATAGATGTCTTATGGGATTATTATGCAATACATCCAATTTGAAAAATGATTTGGTAACTCTGATTTCAATACAATTTTGGGAGTTATTGTACACGTTATAATAACGAGGTTCTAGTGTTCCCTGGTTGCTCCGACTATTGACTGCTTATCTATATTTCTGCGTGTTTAGCAACAGTTTGTCAAAGAACTAACTAATGGGAAAGTCAAGATACTAATACCTTCTTAAGCCTCCCTTTTTCTTTCATCATGCTCAAACTGAACTTGGAGGGGGGGTACTCCGGCTAAAGTAGAAATTCCTCATATACTACCTCCGGTCCTTAATATATAAGAACTCATTTGACTTTTATTTTGGTCCTAAATATAATATTCTAATCCACTTTGTCTTTCATATCTATCCATTTTTCTTTAATATAGTTCTTGTAATAATAGTAGGTCTAACCAATACCCTTGATTAATGAGGATATTTTAGGAAAGGCAGTACCTATTTATTACAAATAACTAACTTAACTAGTTTTTTTAAATTAATCTATTCAAATTAGTCAACTGGCTCATATATTAAAGACCGGAGGTAGTATGATTTTATTTTGCAGTTCAACAGCTTTCGTCTGACTGTGAAAAATCGATTCTGATATAATTGTTGTCTTCGAGCATGCTGATGAAATCTAAGCTGGATTCTCTTTCTTGTTCATTTGGAAATGCAGGGCCATCTACATACTTACAGATTCTGCGACAATGTTTGGACCTTCATTCTACAAGATGCTGTGTTGAAGAATGAAGATTGCCAAGAGAATGTGGGACGGGTTAAAATAGTGGCATGTGACTCAAAGTTGCTTTCGCAGTAATTGACACCCGCCTTGTTGTCAACAAGGAGATGTTCTGACACCCGCTTGTGATATTGATGGGAATGATGGAAAATCCCCAGTGGCGGATGGTCTAAATTGTATCAAGTGCTTTGCAGTTATGGGACGTTTTAGATTTTATGGCCATCAACCTTGACATCTTTAGGAATGTGATGTGAAAGTGAAAGTGAGTATACTCAATGGGTAGTAGATGAGTCTACTTTAGACTTTTGTTGATCATCAATACATGAATCCTTTTGTCTCGTGGGCTTTGTGGTTTAGGAGCTAAGTTATCTGTTAAATCCAAATGTCAAGATTGGTGAAGATATTGAACAGGGGAGGAAGTAAGAGTCATAGAGAAGATATATTTTATGCATTCTGTTCACATATTTCATGAGGTAACTAAATGAAGTTTGATTGCCTTCCTCATAGTTAAAAGGGTGTTTGCATTAGCTTTTTTAAGAAATGATTTCACAGTATATAAAATAAGTCCATGAGAATTTTGTCTTGATTTGTATAAAAATATTTTTTTTAAGTGCTTTTACTATTTACCAAACTCTTCCTAAA